ATTAAAAAAATAACGCGTGCCGGTCAAGCTGATGTATTTAATAATAGAGTTGAATGCGAGAGCGTTCCGATCACTTATGCCGCGAGTGCACTTTGGGCTAACGCACGTGCATCGCGTAAAGCATTGACGACGGCTCAGGAGCTTCTTGTCGAGGCTCTGGTGGAGGCCAACCGGATCTGTATCCTGTCGGCGTCTTCCCCTGCCCGGACCGCCGTCTGAATTATTCATGGCGCGCTCAGACGTGATCCGGCCGGCCACGGAGGCACCCGTGACGTGACGCCACGCACCTCGCCTCTCTCCGCCCAGCGCTGTTCACGCGTGATTAGAAAAAACAAGGGCGAGTGCGAGTCGGGAATTGTGCACGATGGGTTCCGTACTATTATCTATAAAAATAAGGGAAAAATCGTGTCCGTTGTATGGGCGTCCCAATTTAATATTTTTTATTAGTACTTTTTTTTTAGTATTCGTTGTTATAGCGGCAACAGAAGTAGGTACAGCATAATTATGTGAAAATTCCAACTATCTGGTGCCTGTGTTTGTCAGCCTGGTGACAGACGGACAGACAGACAGTGGAATCTTAGTAGGTCCCGTTTTACCCTTTAGGTACGGAACCCTAAAAGCCTGTGTTTTTCCGCCTGATTTTCAGCGGCCTTTGGCTGTGTGGACTCACAAATATCTATATCTCGACTAGAAGTTTTTAAAATACATCCCAAAATTTTTACCGAATTCGCAGACGGTCGAATAAACGAACAATTTCACGCTATAGTTGCAAACCGTCTCAATCTTAGTCCGAAAGCACATCTGTTAATATCCATAGTAGGTGAAAATGACGGATAAAGTATAAAGTCATGTGCAAACGAAATAATTCAGTAGAAAGACAAACGGAGTGTGTTTTATAGCGACAGTTTTATGGAGTAGGTATTCCGTTCCTTCGCCTCATCGATTATTCCAGTCTACCGTCGAAACTGTTGTACATTGAAAAAGTATCGGACAAACGCAAAATAAGCCATAAACCTTTACATTGATTTATGCTTCGTCCCTATATGATATTGGCGATAGGAAATTATATTTTCCGTCGTGGTTTTCATTGAGTTTTTCTTGTGGATCGATAAATTATGTCAAGTATTGATATGAAATTAATACGTTGTCGTCGAAAAGGAAATATCGCTTATTAAACGCCGATCCAAATATGGAAAAGCCGATATTGCATTGTCCATTTTGGTCCTTTGTAAATCTCAGCAATAGCGGCGATTGTGTTACACAATTCGTTGCGTGCTATTTTATTATCGACTCTAATCATTAATCAACTACTAGTTTGCTGGCCGATTTGCCCTTACCCATAATGCCACCTGCGAGTTGCTTTAAACTTAATATTTACGATTTAATCCGTCGATATGATAACGGGACTGGTTAAAATTTTAACCATTAAAACATTAATTGAGTAGCACACAAAGTGATTAATTATAACACGGTTTTTTTTTTTTTCACGAAATAGGAGCGTGGGAATCGATTAGTGATATTTGATAAGGAAGCGTGTAGTAATGATTTCTTGAGCTTATGCGAACATATTGTTAAATAAAACTAATATTATGAATTATTTATTTTGCTTTTAATATTTTTTTCTAATACCAACGTTTAATAATATATTTATTCAAAAAAGAGTCAAGTCAAGGATATTCGCATTAACCTTATACCTTGGGTTTTGTATCACTAGGTATAAATAGGAATATAGGATTACGTGATCGCTTCAAACGTCATGGTGGTAAAATCATAGAGGTGATTGTATCATCAATCAAATTAAAAAAGTGAATAAAATAACAGTATAATAACAGCGGCGTTTCGAAAAAAACTTTATTTATTTATTTACTTTATTGGAACACCTTAAAAGTGATGACCTTGATGCTAATTGATATTCTTTACTATTAAAAACAGGACCTGAAGAAAAATGTTAGTAGATGCATTATTTGAAAGTAATATTTGGCGATTAAGAAGTCAAAATAGAATTAAGAAAAATTATTAAGCATTTATGCATATACATAATTTACAAATGATTGAAGATCTGATCGGTTAAAAATAAAACGTATCCTAAATTCCTTTGAGAGATAAGTTCTCGTTAATTTATCTTTAACGACTGTTTGATAGCTTCAGATCGTCTGGTTTGCAAACCGGCTACAATTCTCGCGATTATATCCGTATTGAATATACAAACGTTGCCGTATAGTATGCTCGCTGTTTATCGTTATTTTGTTTTTTCTATTAAAAGACGAGGTAATATTAAAACTGATGTGATATAGCCGTAGTTTCACGGATCCGTTGTAACTTTTAGTTCCTTGGAATCATCATCCAATTGAGATCAAATGTGTTTATCCGCCAGCACAGTCCAAATCCATGCGCGGCTTGGCTTCGAGACACTAATATTTCATTGGACGTTTATAATATGTCGCTTTCAAGCGTTTCTAATATAACTGCCGAGTGGTATATTCGCATAGTATAGAATTCGACTATGCGAATTCTATACTACACTAATTATATACGCATACAATAGTGAAGAGAGTTTATGCATTTTTGTGTTTGTTATTAATTACTATTTTGCTACGCCATCTATCATCCTCATACCGTTCCACCGAAAACCAGCATTCACGAAGTTTACTAACTCCGTGAACTCGTGCTGAGTGGAAACCTATTTGGTGCATTTAAATTTTATTTCTTTTTATTGTAAACAATCTTCATTTATACCAAATAAACTTTTTTTCTTTCTTTCTTTCTTCGTTTCTTTCTGCGTCAGTCTGCCCCCATTAGGAGCGCCGACGGCAATCGGCCGTCGCGACATCGCCAATGGCCAACAGCGGCGCCTCTTCGCGTGACACCTTGATTGACACATGAATCGCGCACGACCGCGCCACCAACTCAGAAACTCCATGTGGGAGTGCTAATAACAGTTGTCGGGTCCCGTTGATCTAAGGCGGAGCTCCTGATTGATAGAATAGAGTTGTAATTCAACTAGGCTGTCTGTCTAATGTCTGACGACACGGCGCCGTCACGTGTGTTGCATCCTGAATGTGAAAACACGAGTGTGAACGGACCATCTGCTTATGAGATAGCGAACAACAACTGGCATTTATACAGTTCGTTATTTCTGTACGTTTGTTTCGATTAATTAATTAATTTATTTAACGGTGGTAGGGCGACGCAACAACCTTCACAGTTGCACGAATGGCCGGTCTGTTCGGAAAATTGCCATGACCTCATAGAAGACCGGCGTGAAATGGAAGTGTTACACTTCTGCGTTTCGTCTGGTGTGAGTATAAGGTGGCTACACATCTGCAACCCTAAGGTTCATGGGCGGCGGTAATCACTTGACATCCGGTGAACCGCCTCCTCGCTTGCCATCTACTAGCGCAAAAATATAATTAACACTTTGTATTTTACATCTGCGGATCCCGCTGCATGAAATTCAGTAGACATGTATTTACTAATTAGTGGGTTGCGAAGATACTGTCTTTATAATATATAAAATCTTTCATAAATGTATTGCTAAATTAGTAATATTAACAACACCGATGACTATTTGGAAACAAATTAATCTATTTATGGTTCGTGTCTATTATCTTTATAAATATAATGTTTATGTGCGTGTGTAGGTCACTCAACTCCTAAACGGCTGGACCGATTTTAATGGAAATTTGTGCGTGTCTTCAGGTCGATTCGTGAATGGTTTAGATTCACAATTCGGTACACATTTTTCTTTAATTTTTTTTTATTTATAAGTTGTTTTCGGATTCTAGTCGTGTTTACAAGACTGTCTGTCTGGTCCGCTAGTTATAGTAAAAAATGAGAATAGTTCATCCTGACTGGTAATAACTGAGTGAAGACGCACGATTTACTGAATAAAAACAGATACAACAGAGAGATGTCGAGGAGTCAGTGCGTCCGGGTTACGTGTACCGCGTTCGGTCAACGCTTTTGTAACAAACGGTCCGTCGCTAAATCGATGTATTCGTGCGCGTATCGGCCGAAACGTTAGCGTTTACGTTCGCAAGTCACGTTAGCTCCGCGTTACGGACAGGTTGCGGTGCTTTGCGAAGGTCGTCGTAATATTTTAACGGACGATACTTAGGACGGTGAATAGAGCGTCCGTTTTCGATCGATTTCTTACCCAAATTCCGAAGGAGGGTATTGTTCTTAGGGCGTTTGTATGCCTGATTCTTTGGCACGCTCCACAGCTTTAGCCTCTTGACGGATTTCAACATACGATATTAAGATGAAGCCATAAAGGTTCTTCTGAGGGTACTTACCTTTTAAAGGTCCTTTACCATTATCTTAATACCATTATCATCAATCACTCCATGGCAACTGATTTTATTAGTAACAGATAATATTACCTTATACCTGTTGAGCAAATTACTCGTTACGGGATAGATTAACAGATGTGTGCTTATTAACTTTAATGTTATGTTAGTCAAAAAAGTTATTATTTACGAAGCCAGACATCGCTCAAATATATAATTAAGTCTAGACATTGACCTCGGCCGACACCCTCAGCCGTCCACCAGCTCACTCGATAATCTCCTAGGCGCGACCCACGTGGACGCCCACGTGCGTGTGCCCACTTTCGCTCGTCAATGTCGCGGAGTTTTTTGCGATGATGTAGGTACTCGTAATTATCTTTGGCCTAGATCTCGGAAAGTCTGATTGTTTGCTCCCAAATGGGAGTGGGAGCGCTTTGAGGACTAACTGTGGTCAGTTTCGTTGCTTAATAATTAGCTTTGTTAGGACCAAACACCAAAGAACTGTGGTAAGGCCATGCAACAGCTTCAACATAAGTATTTTTATCATTTACAGGGTATCCAGCACAAGTTTTGCTTAGTTTGGGGCTAGATAAAGTTGTAAAAGAGTATGTCCTTAATATTTATTTATTTATATCCGCGACGTGACAAGTCTCAAAAATGCGATTTAGTTGCAATGACTCGTTGTACTAAAGTTATAATTGTTCCTTTCAGTGTTGCTGAGCGAGACAATACTGCCGGACGACACGTTGGAGGACAAGACCCTGAAGATAACGGACTTTGGGCTCGCGCGAGAGGTGTACAAGACCACGAGGATGTCCGCGGCGGGAACCTACGCCTGGATGCCACCCGAGGTCGGTAGATGTTCAACTCACTCAACAAAGCGATACGGACGAACTGAGCACCACGTGACAGAGTAACCATTTTTACAGAGAACGAGGTTTTTTTTATAAGTGAAAAGTTGTAAAGCGAACAGGCGGTTCACCCGATGTTAAATGATTACCGCCGCCCATGGACATCTGCACACCCGAGGGTGGAAGTGTTGTTGTTGAGTTGACCAACTTATAAAAAATGAGCTCCAGTTAGAGGTAACTGAACTCAGCACACTAAACTAGACAGTATAAAAAATTTCCACTTTACGACGGTCTTCCACCACTACAATCACAATTTTACTGTGGTAGGACCACGCAATAGTTTTCGCTGTTGCACGAATGGGCAGGGTCCGTCCGGGATGAAGACCGGGGTGAAGTAGAAGTGTTCGTACGTCTGGTTAGTGAGGTAGCCGGGGCCCACTTTGTTGAAAGGTGGCAACGCATCTGCAACCATCTATCCCCTTGAAGACGCTCGTTTTTCATACTGACCTGGTTTTTTGTGACAAAGTGGCAAACGAGATGGAGGCTCACCTGATGGTAAGTGATCGCCGCCGCCCATGGACACCTGCAACACCAGAGGGCTCACAAATGCGTTGGCGGCATTTTAGGAAAGAGTATGCTCTCTTCTTGAAGGTTCCCGAGTAGTAACGGTTCGGAAAGACCGCCTGTGGCAGCTGTACAGGCTGGTACTTTACTAGGCAGTCACTTATTTTTTAGTACCCGTCCCGTTCTGATCGAGACTCCCACATACCTCTGCCGCTCCCCCAATCTAGTGGCAGGGGATCCATAAAGGCTTATTAAGGTGAATTGTGATTAATATTAGGTGGACTATTCAGCGGGCTACTTGATGATAAACGACCACTGACTTGCTACACGTAACAACAGGTTTTCTGGTGTATTGGCCGCCTCTATTAAGATACACCTACGGTTAGCTGTCGTCCATTAATTACGTGATGTTTTTTTTTCTTTAGTATTTTTAACTACTAATCTTGTCAAGCTTTTCAATTTAGAAATCGAGCTATCAGCGTAAAAATTAAATACACGTGATGTCTTACTAAAGTACTATTAAAGTTTTATATTTATTTTTTGAGGTCCTTTAATTAGTGGCTTTATTTATTTATAACAATAATAATATCTAGGTATATGATCAAATCATTAGACTCTTAGTCTTAGCCTCAGCAAAGATAGATTACGCACTATTATTACTTCACGAAAACTTGAGTTTCTGTGCGGCCGAAACCGTAACTAAGACCGAAACTATATTTTTTTGCCGAATCTTGTCTGCAATAACGTTTGTACCATAATAATGCGTGTATAACCGACGTGGTCGTGATAGCACCTGCCTGATCACATCATTACGCTCGATACAGTATTTGTTATACCGCAATGCTGTCACGAGAATATATCATAGTGTAAAAGTTATCAGAGCTCGATCGAAATAGTCACCAATCAAGTTTATATCCGACTTGCTAACGATCGCTCCGCGTGCCGAGACCAAGGCCTCGTCTAGTTCCCACGGTGTCGACCTTACGTCGTCGTTCGCCGCGGAAATGTCCGCGATTTTTTCGGAATGTTGCAGTAATTTCAAATGCCATGTCTCTGGTGTGTCTTCGAAACACGAGTGGTCTGTTCAATTGCTTGTCTGTCACGCTGCTTGTCTGTTACCATCAGGGCGGGTTTCAGTCCGCTGAGTTTCTTTCGACGGTTCTTCTCAGCTCAATGGCTTTCTTTTCCGAAACGGTGGTAGGATTTTGACTATCAATAAGCGAGTTTTATGCTCCCATATTGAATAAAGATATTTGAGTTTGCGTCAAAATCTATCAATTGTCATTGAAATGGACATAGACCACGGGTATTTAAAACTCGCTATGAACAAATTTTAAAAGGCCGTAAACGCTGCTGTCGAAGGAGTTATCCGTTTAATTAATTCAAATGGCTTAACGAACAAACTGTCAATACCATCAACATGGTATTAAATTATTTAATGGGCACGTAATTTGATTATGAATTAAACTAATTCAAATTTTTGTCATTTACTGTAATCTGTGGGACGTGGGATCTCGATGTGTTCCCCACACAGAATTGTATCGGATCTGGGTGGGTTTGTCCACGTGAAATTTATGTACATGTTACAACACAACGTATCCTGTTATTATGCATTAATAGAGAAGTTTAAAAAAAAAACGGGGTGTTAATGCGGAACCCGGTGTTTTCCAGGTGATAAAAAACTCAACATTCTCGCACGCGTCGGACGTGTGGTCGTATGGTGTACTGCTATGGGAGCTCCTCACGGGGGAGACGCCATACAAGGGCATCGACGCTCTAGCCGTGGCCTACGGGGTGGCCGTGAACAAACTCACACTGCCTATACCGAGCACGTGCCCCGAGCCGTGGCGAGTGCTGATGGAAGGTCAGTAGGACCAGTGGTGCATCCAACGGCAGCATAAGCCCCCTGTCTGTGCCTCTTTTCTAGGACCCTTTTTTTGTAGCTTTCTATGTTAAAGGTTGGCAAGCGAGCAGGCGGTTCATCTAATTTTTATTTTATTTTTATTATTGTTATTTTAATTTTGTAACAAAATCCACAGCATTTAGTTATACATTATTAATAAAATACTAAAATTTAAAGCCAATTTCGATTTACATTATTTAGCTAAGTTACTTTAATTATGTCAGTAAAAAGCAAACTAATTGTAATACTTAAAGACATATACGTAGGGAATGCAATGCTATTGATTGAAAACCGCCCCCCATGGACATATATAACGCTTGAAGAGATGGAGAGGTGCCAGTTAATAACTAGACGAAACGCGAAAGTATACTTCCACTTCACTTCGGTCTTCTGCGAGGCCGTGGTACTTTACCGGACGAGCCTGCCCGCTCTTGCAACAACAGAAGCTGCTGCTACGTTCTACCATAGTGAAAAAACGTGTCAACAATATTTACATCGTATTAATCGAGTGTGTGGGTTCCCCACTACTGGAAAAATATTGTATGATGAACATAGTGTTTTTCTAATGTCTGAGTGTTTATATATGTATAAAATGTATTTATTTACAAAATAAAAGCATTTTTAACTGTGTTTAAGAGTAAACTAGTACGCATATGTCCAGTTTCCGAAAGGCCAATCAAAGCAGCAATCACATAACACTATGTCAAAAATGATCAGCTGTTAATCTCTTGTTAAACTCCCTTGGGTTTCTGGAAGGTTTGTTCAAGAAAAATTAGCTAATCACTGTATAACCAATGATAATGAATGAAATGAATGATTTACTTCAATTAACTCTTTCTATTGTATAGCTGTTCCTTATTAAACAAAACTTAAATTAACGTCACTATCCAGTCCTGTCACCGTGTGATTGCCAACGTAAAAATCCGAGCTATAATAAAATTAAATTTATATAAATACATGCAAAATGTAAAAAAAAAACTTTACAGAACGAGAAAAAAATGAACTTTTATCAATAATAAACAAGTAAGTATTATAAAAAGAAAGAATCCATATTATTTATTAACTTTTGATTTGCATTTTGTATTTTTTCTAATCACATGATATGTTCGCATAATAATAAATAATAAATAGGTAATAGAACACATGAATGTCCTAACAACGTATTAGGGCATTATGTTTATTTTTAATAAAAACTAAGATTTTTGATAAAATACATTTTTAACCAACGATTGATCGTCCAAATTGACAGATTACTTAATAATACTTTTGACAGCTCGTTGACCACCGAAAAACGCTTTCAGAAACTCGATTTTCTGCTGATTGTCCGTTAATCAGTGACTAATTGCAAATCAAAATCAATGTTGTTTTCAGACGTTCTAGCAACTCAGATCATGTTAAACAACGTTTGACAAGAGATTTATCGTAAATTAAAATTGATTGCGCTTTCGGAAACTGGGTGATAGTACAAGCGTTGCTTAGTTTGAGACCAGATAACGTTGTGTAAAAATGTGTCCTAAAAATATTTATTTATTATTTATTCGTCGTCTCGTTTCAGCTTGCTGGCACTCGAACCCTCGCGAGAGGCCGCTGTTCCCCGAGATCCTGGAGCAGCTGGAGCACATCCGGCAGTCGGAGTTCACGAGGGCGCCCCACGAGTCCTTCCACACCATGCAGGACGGCTGGAGGCTGGAGATCGAGGAGGTGCTGAGGGATCTAAGGCGGAAGGAGAAGGTACATCGCCCCTAATGCCAGCCGATACCTGGCTGCCTACTCCCGACAGGTTCGAGTTCTGAATCAATCGAATTTGACTCGAATTCGTGGCAGTTCGTACCACTGAATCTGACGCCAGCGCACAATCGAGTAGTGGCTCTAATTGGAACTAACTAAGATCGGATAATTTTTCGAAAAAAATTAAGCAATTAACATTTTATATAAGAAAGATGTTATAACCGTAGTAAACATGGAACATTTGTCTGTGACGTAATAGGCCAGATACAGTTAACGGATTTGATAACGCACGGTTTTGTTTCTAGTTTCGATTCGGTTCGGGAGTAAGATTTTCAAATCGAGTTCTAATCAAGAGTGAGTTCGAATCGAAAACAAAAACAAATTCGAATCGAATTTGAGGAGTAACACGGCTGGTTCCTCAAATCTCGTATCTGTAAATCTTCTTCTTTCTCCTGCCCTGGCATTACATGTGGCTTGTGTTGTTGTTAAATTAACGTTGTAAGTAGTATTGGCTAGGTTTTGGTACGACATGCTATCTGTCTGGCTTTAACCCTCCTAGGGGACAAACACCCTTATCCGGAACTGTGGGTCACAAATAATTGTCCCGTGTGGGAATCGAATCCACGACCCATCTCATATCATATATGTAAATCTTCGCCTAATTCGACTGAATTGTTTTTTTGCTCCCAAACATAACAACTAAAACTAGTAGTATGTTGTTCCTTCGAACTTTTTCAGTCAATGTCAGACATCATGTGAGCAAGTTCCATCTCTCCTAAGTATAATTAGCATAATTTGCACATAATTCTTATAGTCATTGAGGAATAGTGAATGTTCTAAATTTAGTATACCTACCCATTGTCTATTACTAACCTGCTCTGATGATAGAGGATGTTTTTAAAACAATTATTTCTTAGAGTTAATTGATTACTTAACTAATACACAATTACTCTTTTATATGCAACGCTTGCACTTAGGAATGCAAAACTATCGAAGAGGTTAGTGCCATTATGATAATTACAAACTCCTTAGTAAATGTAGCATTGTTATTTTTATTTACTTTCCTCACCCAATGGCATTTGGTCCAAAAATTAAATATAAATAATTTATAAACTTTCCTAACCATAGTGTCTAATTTTATTCGGATATGATGTTTATAGATTTTCTTTATAAATTTTTTGAATATGAACTCTAATAACTTTTTCAACGAAGCAAAAGCGCTTTATTTTGGCCAAATGTAGTTGCGAGTTCTTTTATTTTAGTCTGTAGTGTCTGTAATCACATTATTTTATATTTTTAATAGTAATCATTCAGTCTTGAGGCTGCAGTAAGATCGGTCTCCCTCAGACCGCTTTTACTGCGGAGCACCAACAACTTTGAGTGTCATGCTACCAGGAGTTGCGCTGCCGCGAGGAGGAGCTGACCCGTGCCCAGTTGCAGCAGCGTCTGCTGGAGCAAAACCTCGCGCAGAAGGAGCGCGAGCTGGAGATGCGCGAGATAGACCTGGCGGCCAGGGAGCTGCACATCCTCATCTTCGCCAGCAACATGTCGCACACGCAGCCGCCGCAGCCCAACAAACGGAAGGGTGAGCCAATCCGCCTGATGACTCCGCGGTGCCGTTGTTAAGGTATTGGCTTCGGCGTCGGGGGTCGTGGGTTCGATTCCCACACGGGACAACTATTTGTGCGACCCACCGATAGTGTTGTTTTTCATCTGGGTGTTTGCCCTCGTGCAATTTATGTTTATAAAACGTCCTGACAACACAGGATAATGTTATCCTAAAGTGAGGGAAATGTTTGTAAAAATGTGTCCTTGTAACTTCAATTTTTATTTTACACGCGAGACGCCTGCAAGCGAGCTGGCGATTCACCTGCTGCCAAGTGATAACCGCCGCCAATTGACAGACAGAACCGTAACACTTCACGCGGGCTATAATTTAGTCATAGTATACAAAATAGATAAGCAAACATCTATGACAAATTGAAACTAAGACTTTGCGACACCGCCGTCCCGTTTCAGGCAAATTCAGCAAGATAAAGCTGCTGAAGAAGGACACGATCTCGTCGCCGCTGGACTTCCGGCACACGCTGACGGTGCGGCCCTCGGACGACGAGTCCAGCGTCAAGCAGCTGGTGGCCGTGGCCAAGGACACGCCGCCGGGCTCGCCCGCCATCATGCGGGCCATAGCGCGTGAGTCTGCCTCCCCCACAAATATTCCCCTATACGAGCAGGAAGAGTTGCCTGTTGGAAATCGAGCACTTAAGGTCGTCAGAATTCCATCGATCGTACTTCTCGGGTGCTACCGTTTGAGTTGTTGAGTAAGAGCATCGTCGAAGCTCCTCGGAACCGGGCGCGCTCTCGTTGCAGTGCCGGCGGACGGCGTGAAGGGCAAGACGTGGGGCCCGTCGACGGGGCACCAGCGGGCGCGCGCGCACCTGCCGCTGCCGGCGCTGCGGCCGCGCGCGCAGCGGCCCAGCTGCTCGGCGCCGCACCTGCCGCCCGCGCTGCCGCTGGCGCGCCTGCCCCACCCAGGTACGCCCACCGCACCCCACGACTCGTAGAGTACGGCCACATCACGTCCGGGCGCGCTCGGCGCCACGGGCGAGGTAGCGTAGGGCGTAGGTTAGGCGATGCGAGTGAATAAGCGCGCGCTGGCCCCTAGCCGGCGGCGGGCGGGGGCTGGGGCCGGAGGGGCGCGAGGAGGCGGCCGCCGGCGCGCGCAAGCCGCGCAAGGCCAAGTCGCAGGTGCGCGCCGCCAAGGGCGAGGCGGGCCAGCGGCGCAGCGGCAGCCACGAGGAGCTGCTCTTCGAGCGCGCGCCGCGCGCCCGCGACCTCAAGCGCTCGCTGCTCAAGGGCATCCGCGCCAACAGCCTCGCCGGCCTGCTGGCCGCGGCCGGCGGCCTGGCCGGCGACACGGCCCACCTGCTGCCCCACGACTAGCGCGCCCCCACCCTCCTCGTCTCGCTCCTTTCCTTCCTCCTCCTCCTCCTCCTCTTCATCCTCTTCCTCCTCCTCTTCATCCTCTTCCTCCTCCTACTCTTCCTCCTCCTCCTCCTCCTTCTCCTCCTTCTCCTCCTCCCACCACTGCCGCGACGATGTAAATACGCTTCTCCTTTCTTAGTTCCAATGATCCCGATAATGTAATAGTTTTAAGGCTACGTTCAGTTTCGTAAGGAAAACGAAAAGTTAAAAAAGACTTATCTCTTAGGCTATCTTGTAATTTTAGTTTTGACAGCATCTGTCTGGCCACATCATACGTCTCTATTTTCTATTGAAACGTATTTCGCTATGCTACTACTGCCAATGTGAATTGTATTTTTATGATGTTTGAAACATATTAAGCGACGTATTGTGTTATCGTTTCCAATGTACATATCATTCGTGTCCGTAGTTATTGACATTTAAATGTAACGCCGTAGTCGGTGTGGCCAGCTGTTATACGACCGATGTGTTGTTGTCATATTTAGATGATAAGATAGATTTCTTAAACCTAGGCTATTAGACAGGAATTTATAAAAAAAAAAGAAAAGACTTATTGTACGTTACGTTAAACATTTTCCTCGTTGACTGATAAAATTTTAGGATCTTGCCAAATTTTGTGCGAACGACACGGTCGCATCGAAATCGCCTCGCGAGGAAACCGCAAATAAATTTATAAAAAAAAGAGATAGAGAAAAAAAATGGCGGTTTGCTCGTGAATGACATTTCGTTCGATCTGAGAACACTGTCCAGCCGCATCGTTTTGATATTATGTTAATTTGTAGGTTATAATTGTTTATCTAACGTCGGCCATTTTGTTTTGTTCATTGCCGCTATAAAGGGACCTCTCAAGACAGTCTCCTGTATCCCTGTGAGTATACTATTTTACATTTGAACGTTTAGAAATTTTGTTTTTACCAATATTTTGCCCGATTTAAATGTGACACAGTAGATTCTTTGAAAGTTTTAATTTATACTATATGTAAATAGAGTCGACGTCAGTATTTAAGCATTTAACGTTTATAAACCTGTCCCAAACATCTCGCCGGCAATGCCATGTGGCGGTGGACGTTAGCCATAGAATGTAGTCTTAGACGCAATAGACGTGTGTGTGCGTGTGCTTTGTATGGAGATTTTTCGTTTTTCTCATTTATACAAGTCCACCCAATATTACAGTCGATTTGCTGATAGATGTTTCGCGCGTGTTTTCCAGTTAAAGCACATTGCCAATCACTAGACAGTAGTTTTATTTTTTTTATTTTTACCGTTGTAAATTGTAAGCATTTGTTTGCTTTCAGCCTAATTTTTAATTAATATTTTTTTTGTACGTTACGATTAAGAGCTATGCATGCTTAGCAGTTCATAGTAATACGCTGTTTTCCGGTACAATATTGATGAAATTACGATTATTATAATTATAATTATGAACATATATATTTATGTATTTGCCCGTACTTACTTTATTACGTTAGTCTGTATGATACGCTTCGTTCTACAATATCACCATATCACATGGCACGCTTTCAAATGTTTACAATACAAACTCTAATAACGTGTATTTGGAAGTGTATTTGATGGTCGTATAAGAGAAGGAAAAGTTTCAATACTCCATACCTGACGACCCGACGCGAAAATCGCAAGGCGTGACGTCACGTACCCTTCCAAAACTAGACTTGTAGCCGTCAGTGTTAGTCGGTATAAAGGAAACTCTTCCCGCTGTAACATTTGGCCGTAGAGCGAACGTTCCCTTCGGTGGTGGGGGCGAGGTACACGCGGGGGGGGGGGGGGGGGGGGGGGGCTATCACTGCGTCGTTCGAGACTCGATCGATCGACGACTTCGCCCGAATTGCGCTCGAAGCTAGTTTTTTTTTTTTTTTTTTTTTTTATAAACGACAAATCACATAATTATGGAAAAATAATCGAAACTCTTCGGTGATCTGGTTCTTTTATAATTATATAACTATTATTAGTACTTTTTTTTTATATATATATCAAATAAACCTTTTCCATAAAAGCAACGCTGGTGTATTCTTTTAACATGGGTCCACTAATAAAATTAGGCACTAACAAATACCCCTAACATGTCAGATCAAAGGCGAATAATTAATATAATTACTATAATGATAATAATAACGAGCCATATATTGATCTACACTAATAGATCACTCTATCAATCTCATCGGTCATAGACAAAATAAACAGATTAAAAATATTGGTGATGGGTGAATCTAGTTTAGGACTTTGGGTACCTAATATCAAAATCAAAAGGAATAGAAAGAGAGAGAAACAATCGGCTTCTGCTTTCAACAGTATAACTCTAATCGGGGAATGGAAAAAACGCCAAAGGACCCAACAGTCCCTCTAATATATCTATTAACTAAGACTAGCATACGAGCCTGGGTTGTGACGACGTAAACAAACGTAAGTATATTAGTGTGTGACGGTTTGTCCGTTTGTATGTATGTTCGCAATTCGCTTGGTGACGCTTACCAATGAACTGTTCAGCATGTGTAGGCCGTTTGTCGTGCACAGTGGTGCCATCTACGTAAACCACGTTGGATCTTGTCAAATGAAAGCAATTTTCGTACTTTTTCTACATGGTTTAATATTCTGACACATTTAATACGCCACAATTTAGATTATAGACGCAATAATGTCTGGAATTTTAAATAATTTAAACATTGAAGTCTGTAAACTAGTTTTGCTTTAACAATTTATATACTTTTTCACGTGTTCAATCTTGTAAAATCCTAATACTATTTTAACATCAATATGTTATAATTTATTATTAAAACATTCTTGCTTCTACAAACATATCTGAAATCATGAAGCGATGAATAACAGACTCTAAAAGTGTTAATATATAACGCAGTTTACGTAGATGGTATAAAATGTCCTAAGCTCAGTAATTACTTTTGCAATGTACATAATGTATTATACAGGGTGGCTTTTTTTAAAGGTGCCCAAATTCACATAGGAGATTCAGACTTGGTAGTATAATCGTTTATAGAAATAAAAACAAACTTTTTATTTTCAAAAAAATTGCCGTTCCTTTCCCTAAAAATCAAAACTTGTTGACAATGCGGAAGTCATTCATAAATGCGTTGTATACTTTTATAAACGAACTTGTGTGCGTGTTAGTTATGAATGATCGTTTGAGATAAGTTCAAATGAATGTAATTAATTTACGAGTGATTTTAAATATTTATCAATTTTATATAAAATTATTTATGACTAGAATTTAATAAAAAAAAATGGATACACTTAGAAAGGCCTCCCTGTATTTATGCTTCATCACGCTTCGACATTACTGTCCTCGTTGAGCCATTCGAATTTGAACCTTAATCCCTGCGTCTTAGGACTTGCATTGGTTTGTATCAGATTGTCAGTGTTCTTCGTATTGTAGTGTGTTCAATTGATGTTTGTTTGAAATAAACAAGATGTTTCAACTGATTAATGATTGAATCTTTACGATTCGGGTAAAATTTGAATTGAAAATCATTTTGCTTAACAAATTTGATTAGTTTAAATCAATTAACTTGTGAAATAATGCCACTTAAACATATAATGACTATGGACGACAAATGAATGAAACATAAGCTTGCAGTCAAAGTGTGACACATATCTAATATGTCAATAATGAAGTCGATTTTTAAATGATGGTTAAATAATTTCCAAATTAAGTCAAGAAGTCATTAAATTTTGAAGGTATCGATAATGAATTAATATAAAAATGAATGTGTTATTATAATTATGCTGATCATGTGCTGTTCAGTGTAAAAACATTACTGATAATATGAATTAATGTTTGAAAATTGACTGGCGCTTTTACGTTGCTAGTTAATGGTTCGAACAGACTGACGCGTACCGGCAGTAATGACCTTAAATGATTACTAATTCAAGAATTATGCAATCTAGCAGTATTATGAAAAATATTTTTAATTATTTTAAGTTGAATTTAGGGTGGTGTGCGCTGTGTGGTAGAAACAGCAATATAAGTAAAATAGAGTAACAATCAAATCTATACATGGAACACTTCCAAACGATACAGAACTAACGTGAAAACATACATAACCACTTAAATTTAAAGTCCAATTTTGCGTGGGGCTTGCACACCGATAACAATCAGACCGTCCCGTGCGAGCAGCTCGGCCGCTCGCCGCCTAGCGCCGTCCCTCTCGCACGCGGGAACGAGGGAGCGACTAACACGCGTGTGTTTTCCATTCAAGGTTGTTTTCTTCCTTATACAGACTTCAGTCCGGACGACTGGGGCCCAGAGTTCCCCCTAAGCACGCCCTCCAGATATACGATACCGATGCCGACTCTGTACAGCACAGAAGGTAAGGTATAAGATTCAATCCAGATGTATAAAGCCATAAAGGGGCGACTGAGTGAGCTTTAGTGAAACGTTAAAATAGAAAAAATTTACGAAGTTATTCGCCGACGCGGGAATCGAACCCACGGTGTTCCGCACTCGCGACCAGATGATTTACACACTAAGCTAAAAGGCCGATTGCCACTGAAAATCTCAACTTATTTAATCTGCATTGTTTTTCCGAATTTTTAAGCAATAAAAGAAAAATTTTTCTTTTTTTTTTCTACTAATTTGAATGTTTCATCTTAAGTGCAGAGATTAGCAAAATAAAATTTGAAAAAATGAGTTTTAGCGGTTAAGAAACGCACTAGCCATGTCTTAGCCCCACGAGAAATGCCCTCTTCCGTAGATCTATTACGAAGAAAACTGATAACTTAAACGACGCAGGCACAATTATACACATTTTTTGTAGATAAAATCTTGAGGGAAGAGACAAGGACCAAAAATAAAATTAATCATGAATAAATAGAAACCGTAATATTTTTATCATAATATGCAGAGTTATTTGACTATTTTCATAGCAACCGCTAGGTGTGAGTTTCGCCTTCAAAATGTATCTACAGATAATAAGATTATGAAACAAAAATTTCTTCCTTAATAAAACGGTGAACGCTGAAAGATGGTAAACATTGATACTCAGTGTAGTAAAAAGCCAAAATAATTCTTCGAACATTAAAATACTCTCGCATAAATGAGCTTTCTAAATTATACAATAATCCCTCATAAGTAATTTACCTGTATCCAGCATGAGGCATTCATTTTCTCTTTACCGAAACAATAATTATAAGGCATAGTTGAACTTTAATGGTGGTAGGGCCACGTAGCAGCCTCGGCTTTTGCACGAATGGGCAGGCTCGTCCGGGTAAGTACCACGACCTCACAGAAGACCGGTGTCAAGTGGAAGTATAAAACTTTCGCGTTTCGTCCGGTGAGTGAGATAGCCGGAGCAGATGTCCATGGCCGGCGGTATTCACTTAACATCAGGTGAACCGTCTGTTCATTTGGCAATTTTTCACATAAAAAAAAACTTAAAACATTCAAAAGAATTGCACAAATTGTGCATAGAGTGCAGCTATAAGCTTTAGCTCTGTATGTAGACATGAGCCGTGATAGCTCAGTGTCCGGGCCCTCGCTTTTCATTCAATATGATACTCGAGCAACCTGAGTTCGATCCTCGGTGCCGGCACTAATGAAATTGTTAATTCTAAGTGCTGACTTATCACGTGCTCGCGGTGAAGGAAAACATCGTGAGGAAACCTGCATATTTTCGAAATAATACCAAAAAAGAATATTTCGAAATTATGTGAAGACCAATCCGCAGTGGGGCCGCGTGGTGGACTATGACCTGATACCCTCTGTACAGAGGAAGCCTTTGCCCAGCAGTAGTGGGACATGTATAGGCTGTTACTTTAATTTTTTTTATGTACACATACTCATACATAAATCATCTGCTACTACTTGATACAAACAGGAAAGTCTAGAAAAGCAGTGATCGTTCAATGACCAATCTCATGAATGTAAATAACTCGAAGCATTGTTTGTTCAGTGTATTTGACACACACACGCCCAAGCTCTGAAGTATTCACGTACTAAGGTGTCTTGATATATATAGTAATTTTGTCTCTCACAGAGCTTTAGTACCAAACGTCGCTCTTAAATAAGTAAGTCTTGAATTACCTGTAGATAACTGAATGATTTAATCCCAGTCATTTTCTTGACATCTAACATTAGTATATCGTATTGATTTCTTGGTTTCATGCGAATAATATACATATTAAATGAAACTAGTTTACGGATTTCATCGCGTTTTCATTTTGAACAATGGAAAAGGTTCGATACTAGGGTGGGAAACCAAGTGCGAGTTGGACTCGCGCACAAAGGGTTCCGTACCATTATCTATAATTGTATGTACCCCCCACAAATATTTCTTATTCTGTTTTTTAGTATTTGTTGCTATAGCAGCAGCAGAAATACATCATCTGTGAAAATTTCAACTGTCTTACTGTCACAGTTCATGAGATACAACAGCCTTACAGTCAGACAGATAGTCAGCTGAGTCTTAGTTATAGGGTCCCGATTTACCCTTTGGGTACGGAACGCTAAAGATCAAAACTAAAACGCGATAAAATCCGTAAACTAGTTTCATTTAATATCAGCATATCAGACATTAATTAGAGATGTGGTGACGTTACAAAAGTTATTCGACGTCGACCGTTGGCGGTTTCAGGTTACAAGTACAAGAAGCCTAGCATAATCGAGCTGGTGCTGTACAACATGGCGGCGCTGCTGGGCGGGGTGGCGGCCGGCTACGACGTGAGGGTGTCCAACGTCAGCCCCCTGCACCCCACGCTGCAGCCCCACAGGTACAACCAGCCCCCACCCATCGATCGGCCTTTATTGAGAGGGTGGTAGGTGGACCAACGGGTCACCTTTGACTTGACTTCGAAAGAAGTAGGTCTGAAAGCGCATTGTAGGTGATACAGCCGCAAACAATAAAAAATAACTTTTGATAATATCAAATCAATACTCAATATAGTCATGTATTGCCTATAGAGTTAAGACTACATAGTCTTAACTCTATAAAAAAAAACTACTCAGTATAGAAATATACAATGTGGCTTTTCTAAAGGTGCCCAAATTCACACAGGAGGTTCAGACTCGGTAGTATAATCGTTTATTGAAATAAAAACAAACTTTTTTTTCCAAAAAAATTGCTATTCTATTCCCTAAAAACATAACTTGTTGACAGTGCGGTAGTCATCCATAAATGCGTCGTATACTTTTGAAACGAACTTGTGTGCGTGTTAGTTATGAATATAATAAATCACGCACTTTTTGAGATAAGTTAAAATGGATGTAATTAATTAATTACGAGTGATTTTAAATGTTTATCATTTTCATATAACATTAATTATGTCTAGAATTCAATAAAAAAAAATGGATACACTTAAACAAGCCCCCCTGTATCTACAGCGTGTCGATACCATCGCGACAATAAATGAACACACGTCTTACGCTACTTGCCAATAATCATAAAAAAATATTAACAAACATAATCCATAATTATAAAAAAAATATTTTTCAAACAAACTAATTAATTAAAAAAGAAACAATTCTTTTTTCTAGAAAAAATAATGCCCTTACTTTAGGATAACATTATCCTGTGTTGTAAGGACGTTTTACAAACATAAATTTTTCGCAACAAACACCCAGATGCGAAACAACTATCTGTGGGTCACACAAATAGTTGTCCCGTGTGGGAATCGAACCCACGACCCCCGACGCCGAAGCCGATACCTCGGCAACTGCGCCATGGAGTCATCTTTGTACAAGCCTCTCTTTCTAACAGTATGTTTTTTCTCTTTTAAATTCATTCAACCCATTCATTTGCTTTGTGACCTTTACAAATGAACTTTACGTTACAGTTTTATACGTAAGGGTGTTCTAAAATTGTTTGTTTTGTAAAATTTTAATAACTCTGTAAATATTGATGCTTAATACAACTCTAAAAAGTTATCCCCTATATGTGTGTTCATTTATTGTCGCGGTGGTAACGACACGCTGTATATACCCGTTGTACCCGTTGCAGGGCGGAGACGGAGCCCGAGCCGCCGGCGTGCCCCTTCGAGGGCTACGGCTTCGCGCACAACACGTACCACGGGCCCGCACGCCATCTGCGCGCGCCGCTCAACGCCATCACCGGATCGCCCGTCGGTTCCATGCGATGTTCCACTTCCATCCGAATAGACCGTGTTTTAGGATACAATTAATCTGTGCAAGTTTCATAGAAAACGTTGCAATGTGATCGGTTGGGCGTGACGTTGGGCAGATGGCTCCTTTGTTCCTACAACGGATGGCGCTACAGACGCCGTAACGGACCGCAAACGAGCTGGCGGCTCGCCTGACGTTAAGTGGACACGTACACATGTCCGTGTGAGGTACATGAACATCACCGTAGGGGACCATTACAGTTTTCTCTTTATGTGAAAAAGTGGCAAACGCTGGCGGTTCACCTGATCTGCAACACCCGTAGGGTCGCAGATGCGTGTCCACCTTTTAATAAATTGGGCCACAGCTACCTCACCCGCCAGACGAAACGCAGAAGTGTAACAACTCTACTTCACGCCGGTCTTCTGTAAGTTCGTAGTACTAACCCGGACGGACGTGCCCAATGGTGCAACAGAATACACTGTTGCGTGGTCCTAACACAGCGCCCCGGTCGACTGGTAAATGAGGCGACCGGTCGAAACGCAAAAGCCTGCGAAGAGCCTGCCTATTCGTTCAACAGTAAAAGCTGATGCCTAAGGCCCTATCACAACTTTCGCTGACTTCAAAAAAAGGTAAAGAAAAGCATAAATGAAAAAAAAACTTTCGGCCCTGCGGGATTCAAACCCAACTAAGCTAAGCGGCCGATGACCTCACGGCGCGAAAATACAACGTTCTTTCTAATGCATATTACCGCCATCTAGTGTGCATCATTTACAGCATGCAACACTTAACAAGATAAACAGTTGTAACGAGAGATGTCGCCGTTGCTCTTAAAATTTTAAGATTCTTTTTCGGTATTTTTTTCTGTAAAAGAAAACCCGTTTGCATTGTGTTCAGTTTAGCTCCCGTGTGGGTTTATATTAATTTCATTGGTATATGGCCTTGAACTTCGAAAGACTGAAAAAAGACTAAGAAAAAGCCAATTGACCATAATCAATTGTTGTTAGTTGGACTTGATACTGTTAGAAGAAAGGCAGCTATTACGCCACCCACGTACATTCGCAATGGGCTCCGCCTATCTCGCTCACTGCACGACACGCACAGGCGTAACACTTCCACTTGACGTCGGCCTTCTGTGAGGTCGTGGCAATAACGCGCCACCCTTGGCCGGCGCAGCTGTCGATGGCGGCGGAGGAGGCGCGGCCGCTGCGCTTCACCGACTCGCCGGGCCACTACGCGCCGTCGGCCACCTCGGGCCTGGGCTCCGGCTGCTCGGCCTCGCCCTCGGCCACCTCGCGGCGCACGCCCCCCGCCGCGGACCACCTCGCCGACCTCTACCACAACTACCGCGAGCACTTCCAGCCGGCGCCCGCCCGCGACCGCCCCTACCACGGCCACGACGAGTGTTCCTTCGACTGCCTCGCCCACCGGCGCACGCCCTCCAACTCGTCGGCGGCGAACTCGCACGGCGACGACTTCTCGCCGCCGCCGCGCCCCTACAGGCCGGAGCGGTGCCGCCCCCCCAGGGGCGAGTATCCGCGCAAGTCGACCGACTACTCGCTGCCCAGGGACTACTACAGGCACGAGTCGCTCGAGAGGGTGCGTTCTCGTTTCTCATTAGTGTTGTTACTTCAATTAGCGTTACACCCAGATCACTCGACTGTATTCCTGCCATATTAATAAACTGGCGTTGTGGATACGGCTGGTATATTTTAATTATTTCCACATTATGACATTCTACTTTGGGGAGATATGGCCGACATAAACACTATCTTCATCCTGCAAAAGAGAGCCAACCGAATAGTTTATATCAGTGATTATTTGAATGACAACAAACTGAAATGAATTGATCGCTTTTTCAAGTGGAATTTAATACATTGTACACATGTTATTTTTTTGTCAAATTAAGTTGTGTCAGCTTATTTGTAGTAGCTAGGTGCATCAAATGTAAACTAGTAAGTACTAAAGTAAGTACTAGTAAGTAACTATTCAGTTCAGCCGTAAGACGATCTCGATCCAGTGTCCGTCCATTCAATATTTGTTCAATTTCCGATTACATTTCCCAAGTTGTGTTTTTCAGTAATTATATTGTTCGTGTAACAAATGAATTTTTTGATGGCTTGTGCAATATTGTATCGGTAATATGACGACCCGATTTGCGTGAGTAGTGGACCTACCTCTTGAGTGTGGGTTCTGGAAGAATATTGTGTGGTGAACATAGTGTCTATCGGTTTTCCAGTTCCCAAAGTGCAAGCGTTGCTTAGTTTCGATAAAGAGAGCGTTTATCCGGTATGGTTGCAGGTGGAGCCGGAGCGGCCCGCGAACCTCGGGCTGGAGCTGGCGCCCACGCGGCTGCGCTCCAGCCTGAAGAAGGGCAGCGGCAAGAAGAGCAGCGCGTCCGGCGGCAGCTCCGGCGGCGGCACGCCCACCAACCCCACGCCGCCCGACAGCTGGACCAGCGAGACGGACAGCTCGTACGTGTCGGCGCGCGACGCCTCCAGCGGCTCCCAGTCCAGGGTGCGCTTCAGCCCCGAGACCATGGAGGGCCCCTCCAGGCTCTCGTAGCGAAGGCTCACCAAGTTCGACGCCTACCTCGTCTGAAGGGCGGCGGTGACAGTGATTGACAGTGATGCTCGGGGCTCAGTGGCAACGGGACAGATTAAGTGTGTGACTGGGGGTGGTGTGCGCTGTCTAAGCGGATCTGTTTGTCGATCGGTTAACATCCAGTGACCATGTGGGCTTGTATATACTCAGAGTTGCTGTAAGGTCGGTCTTGAAAATTAGCCAATTATCTGTTGTCGATAAAGTTCATATAACCGATACGAGTGTTAGGTTTTCGTTTTGTTTAAAGTTAGTTCAGTTTAGCAATTAGACGGAGCTCACACAACGCTTCGTGTAACGAAGAAGCCTTAATACACGACTGATAGATACACTTTCCTACAACCATTTTTTAAATGTTGTGACTATACCAAAACCGTGTGGAAATCAATATATTGCTTTGGATATTTACGACAGTAGACTTATTAAGTGTTAACATTCCAATTTAAACAAGTGAAATTATAAATTTGATTTTGTGTGATTGTATTTATAATTCTCATGAGTATCCTGTGTTCAGAGTTAGTTTATATAGTGCAATTGAGAATTATGCTTTAGGATTGGACAGTTTGTTGAGGGTAAGAAATTGAAATTATTTTGATGCTTTTTAATCTTATTTATTTTGAAAATGTCTGGACGTTTTAACAGGCATTATGAATTAACAATTGCTCTATTGGAAAGAAATATATTAAATAAAGAATAAAAACCAGGGGTATTTTAAGAAAATGGAAACACCAACAAAGTTCCTCCACCATCTGCTAATATTGCAAAATCTGTCATGTATACAACAAATAATAAATTAATAACACATTTGTTCTGTCTGCTTTCAAGAAGTATTCTAAATGACCTCATTTAATGTAACAGTTTGACATAGAGACATCACTCTAATTAATGTACTCAAAGACATTGAGTACATTTTAAAGTTGTAGAATGGAGTATATATGGAGGTGAATGCTTGGCTTTATATATATATATATATATATTATATATGTAACATTGAATTCGATATATACAATGTTACAACTTACGTTTTTAATTAAGGGACGGAAAAGAGCTTTTTATATAAACGCAATTGTGTTCATTATTACATATTTGTGTAGTCTACACTGTATATTTTAAAAATAAAGTAAGGCGATGAAGAATAAAGCCAGCTTTATAATGTGCGATAGAGACAATACAAACACTTGGAATACACTCTCGAATGAACATCTTTTCAATCTTATCCATTTAAGTCTGTACAATTGTCGAAATAAAGTCAAATTAATTAATAACTGTAAAGGAAAAAATTAACATTTGGTTAATACTAACGGATTATTGTTAAAAGTGTGTGTGTTTAGTTAATATTGACATAACCATTCCATTTTACATTTTTATAGTTTTTTTTTTTAGTATTAAATTACATATATAATGAATTACAGCATCTGTTTAATGAAGTAAAATTTAGTTAAAAAAGTACCCAAATGGCAGCTGTAACATTGCCATAAATTTTAATGACAGATTATCATATTCAAGAAAGTTCCTTAGACGAGAGTCCAAATTAGTATGGAGAAAATGTAATGTAAAGATTAAGTTTGATGTTATATACGGATTCTGGAATGATTTCAATGCATTTGTGCCTGTAAAATATTTAGGATACCGGAATATACTCTTATGAATCTATTACAGTGTTATACATAGTTGTGAGGGTAGAATATTCTGTTAGAATTGCCATGTTTTAGGCTGTGTGAAATTGGCGAGATATCGTAGATTTTATAGGGTGTTGGACTTTATGAATTTTCAGAATTACTTCAGAGTAGGAGTGTGTATTATATTTAAAAAATTATAATTTAATATTCGTAACTCTTTCCAATGTCTATAGAGAAACAAGTAGTCATTTCTTTATATAATATGTATGAAAAGATTAAAAAAAGCCTTTTAATTGAATCTTGTTATATTCCATTGATGAGCAAACACTCCTACTTTGTAAGGCATGTATATGTATTAAGATCAAAAGTTAATGTATTATATAACTTATAATATTGAAATCAGTCAAACAATCAATGTAGTACTATATGTTTTAAATCAACTGTCTGGCCAATTTGTCATTATGAACAATTATTCCATGAACAAACTTAAATAGTTGATAGTTTTGTGTAAAGTACTAAAGAAAGGTAAATTTCACTTTCAAAGAGACTAGACGAGAAGTTTACCCTTATTCGTCTTAGCGAGCTTTTGATTCAAAACATGTAGTATACTTGGGTATTCAGGGTGTAACAAGTGGGGTGGACTTGGCACAAACGGGATATCTGTACAAATGTAAATATCCATTTAAAAGCTTAACATTTATTTAACTGGCATTTATTTTGTTATAAATAGTACAAATATATTTTTAAGAGTACCCTATAGCGACGAGTTTAGTGACAAAGTATATAGCGGTGTGTATGTTTGAATTCATATATTCTATACAAGTAAACTATACGCGTTTTGTACAAAGAACGGAAATGTTAGATATTTTTTACAGAAAATATCATATAGTATGTAGATGAAGTAGAACTAAACAGCTTTTGTATTATCCCACAGTGAAATGTTGATTAGGTGAATTCGTAACTAGTCGGTGTTTTGCATGACACCATTGCATATCCTGCTGAAAATGATATTATAACGAACGTTACGCTTCCTATATTCCAAGACCCTGGATTATTTTGTACGTATCGTGATTCGTGAGTGTTGTGAACCGTTATTTTCTACTCGAAATGTGGTTCTGTGCGTTGTATGTTGAAGCGCTTATGAATATACCAAAAGCGTAAATTAATCTAAGAATGAGATATATCGTAATGTTCGAATACTGAAATTAGCTTTGATATTATTAGCGGAAACCAGTGCCTAAATGTTTATTGGAAAGGTCATTATGAGATTTTGTCAAGGAATTGCGTAATAAGAGGATTTTTTTTATATAATATACATGGCATGGCCAGTAGAACGCGGAACAAGAATGTTGTATGCCCCCTCCACCCCTTTTTTTTAAGTTAATTTTGTTTTGTGCAATAAGTGTAAAATTATTTGCGTCCATTTTTATTTTATTATTATACATTTATTTATATTTTAAAAAATCGTCGTGAATTCGTTCAGCAGTATTTCGTGCAGTATTTGAGATTAATTAATACTATTTTAATATATATTTGTATAAATCAACTTGAATGCTTTCCTTATGCATTACACATAATATGTTGCGTTATGGAATTGGATCTTGTATTTAATTTAGTGCAACTTTCTCCGCTACTCTTTCTTAAACCTTATTTTCAACATGAACCAAAACCCAACCAAATTGTTATTAAGAATCTCCCGTAAAACTCGATCCGTTGTGTTTGAGGTCACAAACGTATGTTTATTAATTTGTGTCTGTTCATTTTGTTGTTACACTGTAGATATGTATGTGTTCGAGATTCACGGCGTGTTTACTTAAGAACTCTAGTCTTGAATGTTTATTTAATTATTAATATCTGGCTGGTTCTAGAGCGGTACGACAGTTTGGTAGCACCGAGTTGTTTTATATAGTATTCGGACGTAGCATTATCCTTTGTGTACACTTTACATTCCATATTGTCTGTGGTCCGAAGTGATATTATGCTCAGATAAGTTCTTAATCGAATGTATTGTGACGATGGTTCTGTGTGCCAATATTTGAGATGGGAGGATGCCTTACGTCTGTACGTTAAACCGACAAATAAAAGTTAGATTAAGCTTTTTACGAGGTCTTTTAATGTCACCCATATTTTTACCTTATTCCGACTAAAATGCAAAGTTGCTGCCGTGTCGATTTTCTCCGCTTGTATTTCAGCCCATCACTATAGTGAACCAGGCTGATGGTATGGATACGTATCCTAAATGATCTTGACTCCTCAAAGGAGACCATAAAATAAATCATTTTACAATGGAATGCAATATGAAATGGGCGAGGTTGGGGAAATTTGAGAAAGCATACGAATACAACAACCGATGGTTCTCTTACTATGTTGACTCGCTCTAAGTTTCCAAGAGAATCCCACCCCGCAACAAATGAACTTTTAAAAATATATGAAATCCACAGCAAAAATTTCGATAAATCTACGGTAAAAAAGGGACTGATCCAAAACTATCGGAGGAACATTGTACCGATTATGTAAAAAAGGAATACTCAGCAGTAGAACTCAGTGTATCATTAGGTTGTTGAAAATATATCCTTCCCGCTGTTTATGTACCTGATGAAATATTACAGTCTTCATATTGGAGGCAAAACGCATCATTATCCAAGTTATACATATAGGCCTTGATGTAACTGGCTATAAAATAGTTCACCAAGATCAGCTAGGTACTTTGATGTTTTTAAAACTTCCTGTTAGTACATGTAGATGTTTTTATTAAGGCTCATTTTCAGTGCCCGCTAAAAACTATTGGCAATTCAATAGCACATTAGATGATATCGGAATGCTAATTGAACATTCGACACTGCTCATTATGCATTTTCATAGTGGCCCGTCACGGAATGGAAACCGGTCATATGTTACCTCATAGGGCTCTACATTAACATATGAAATATAAAATAAAATACACAAGTTTGAATAGCATAATAATAGTTTACAGTTTAACGTTTTTCCTTTTTATTTCTTTATCATTATAACGTAGTTTTTATTCCGATTCTAATGACTAGGTTAATTGCTCTATCTAGTTTTTGTACCAACTTTGTCGAACAAATAATATTATTGCCACTACTATTTTATGCGCCATGTAGCTTTTCATAGCTTATTCAAGCTATCAAAAATTATTAAATTTAAAAAAATATATATTAATATATCTATAACTTAAATAATAATACGATAAGTTAAAATGTATAATATATCGGTGCAGTAAATAAATCCCCGTCAATTTGTTATAATTTAAAATTACTATTCATGTCAATGCAAAGAGCACGCAGACGCCTGGGAAAACCTATGATTACTCAACTCAACATTCGGCACTGGGTTATTGGTAAGGGCGTAAGTAGCGAAAAAAACATTTGTTTTATATAAAAGAACAATTTATTCAATACTCTATATAATCTAGTGTGTTGTAAAAATAATCTTACATAACGTGTCCTTAACACTTATTTACAATTACATAATTTAGTTCAGCATGGAAAATTTACAGTAGAAAAGTATGTATAAACGTCGTCGTGTTTTAATATATTTTTTTTGGAAAGTCAGTTTCTATAGAAATCAACTTTGCGATTTCAGCAATCATTCTCAATGAAAACGGGCCCGAATACTTCCAGTCCGGCTACGCCAAAAATTTCTCAATCCACCGACCCTGCATATCGTTATTACAAAACACGTTTGGTTCAAAACCAAGACTTATATCTAAATTAGCACTGGGAATCACCAGAAATATCACAATAAAAATATTATCAACGCTCGTAGTCTTATGCCGGATTATCACTAACACTACGTTTACTGACTAGTGGAAACGCCTTAGAACCGTGTTGTTTGGATTTTATAGGTGTATAAATCTCCTTATACTATGGAAATAATCTAATAATACAGAGTTTAATTTACAAAACACGAAGTCGATAAAAAACACGTTTCCGTCCGATGCATTAAAATCACATACACGCCATGTCGAAAATAGGACAAAAGAGTAAAACCACTGGGATATACGTGCAACCCTAGATATTATGGCAATTCGCCAATAAATTAATCACGCTTAAAACTCATCTTTCGGCAAATTCATTCTCCCCAAGCAAAGCTAACATACGCAATGTATTCATTTAAATAATTTCTTATCGGCGATAAGATTTACGGTCACCCATTGCGACCGCTAGTATTATTATAAATAATTTCAGTCGAGTTTGGACAGCCTTGTTTAATAAACATCGTTTAGATAAACCAGCTACCTTAATACGTCTAGCCTTTTCATCCTCTTGCAAATTCATATTAAAAGTATATTATAAATGGAAATACGGTTTAGGAAATGAAAAATATCAAACTTATATGATTAATATATTTAATGTAATACGTGTATGGTTATAAATATATAATAGCTTACTTATATATTACATAAAGATGATAAAAAACAATCATAACTAACGCTAACTAAATTGCTTGCGTGATGCGTGATACGAGTAAACGCGAAACTTGTTCGTAATACTTCAAAAATAGCGTGTTTCAACTGGGTTTATGGTTGTACCATAAACTGTTGTGCTACGTTCTCATACTCAGCAGTGAGTTTAAAATCTTCGTTATTAATATATGTTAATGAACGAAACTGGTATCGTATGAATACTTAAATTAGAAAAAAAAACTATACTGGCGAATTATTTTAATCACGCTACGTATACCAGTTTTGTCCGTTAAAACATCACCAGCCTTGGCCTTTCACCGAAACCGAATACAGGCGTTCGCTACTTCAAAGCCATCGCTTAACGGGCTTGTTTTAACAGCTGGATGTTCCGGGCCGCTTGTAGACTTAGTGCTCTCGCATAAATCGGGCTATAGCCGAGGTCGCGTTCGAGCATCGGCAATTTTCTGCGTCGCAACCGCATGGTAAAGCGGATTCAGATTAATTCGCGCCCGGCGTATTCAAAGTTGCGAGCGTTGGACGGCGCAGCGTAAACACGAACCGTTCGCATGTAAACGTGTTTTCCCGTAGCGACGCGCGATAATCGATATTTTCGACGCGAAAACACGTACGCGCGTGTGTGTGTGTCACCTTCTTCAGTCAATGTGGATTGTTGACGGCGGCTTTCGTGTTAATAGCGGGCGGGTTCACTTGCGAACGGGCGTTAGGGTAAAGCGATGCGACGCGCCCCGCGTGGAACAAAGCGCCGAGCCGCGTCGCCGGCACCTCTCTATCGTGCGCCAGCCGCCTCCGTAAACTTGATAAAACGGTGAATGCCCTTCTCGCCGACGGCGGGTATCTCCACGCGGCCTCTGCGCACGAGGCTCTCAGCGCTCGCTCAGACTAATTACCTCTCGCGACCGCTGCAGTCCGTATCAATCGGCACTCGCCCCGTTCGGAGCCGTGCGCGAATAACTCACGCCGCTGGGCTAGACGGGTGACGCTCCGTGCAAGTTCATTGCCGTCCAAGCCCGTCTGACGTTGCTCGGACGCTTAAAACGATACCGTCCAACTTACACATACCAATTGCACATATGGATCGTTTCAAATCATTAACTTCAAACGAAACGACTACTCATCAACGTTATCAGATTAGTTTATGGGCAGATAAACGTTACAGCGAACATGTTATGTTCTAACCGAAGATACGCTATCGGTACTTAAATATCAACTTTCATTTTAGCAAATTACAATACGTAACGGATTGGAGCCCGCTGTAAATTCGTGTTAAACTCATTAATTCCGACGTAAGACACCGTTTCGAATTCTTCAAGTATCGCGCGTGTTGATGCGAATGCGTTTTCTTAAAATTATTCATCGCCGAGCGAGGTAAGAGGACAAAACTAACCGCAACACGACGTCTGCAGCGAGCCAAGGAAAACCGTACCCCTCGCGCAAAAGGTCGCCGCCGATATCTGTATAGGGAATATTTATAGACGCTGCCCTTGAAGAGGACGGATGGGAGTTTGAACTCTTGTTATTCGTTTTCGGCGCGCACACGAGTAATCGGTCAGTAGCTCTATCGATCGGCGAGATGGTGGATCTATAGCATGCAAAGGCGTCGCCGAAATGCAAGCAGAGTCGTTGCGAACTCGTAAAAATCTCCGACGTAGAGACCACGCAGAAAATGAGCGCCGTAAAGTTTTTAACGTTAGCGGAGAACGCGATAAGAAGCGGTGCGAGTTTCGAGGCGGCGGCGCGGATTGTTTATGTTATATGCGGCCAAGTTATGAATTGGAGCTCTATCGTGTGCATAAAAATAGATCATTCAATGAAGGAAAAATGCGAAAAAATCCAACACCACCACGGACTCGGCACGTCGATGTCACGGCGTATACTTACTTTCTACTTTCACTCCTAGTCATGCTTCGGACAATGGTGACGGAGGGAGTCGGGTGCATGCGTATGTATGTCGTTGTACATTTGTGGCAGTGTCGGTGTGAGTTTGCAGCATTCGCGTTTTTTACAAATCTGCGCCGAATATGTTGTAAGCGAGACGTCTCCCGCATTCGCCTATGGCCCCCCCGAAAGCTAGCCAACGGCTAGAAGCCTACAAAGTGCCGAGTTCGATATCCGAGCCGCGACGTTCGCGCCAGTGAACTAAGAAACATGAGATTCCCGAAACTAAGGCCCCGACACGCTTGCGCGCCATAAATAATATGAAACAATTAAAATGACGGTATATACAATAACGGCAGCCATAAAACCTGAGCTAACATAAACAAATAAACTTATTTTCGCTCTCTACTACACAACATGCAATATTCAAGCAGTTTTACACAGAGCCGACCTGCCGACGGACAATACACACAAATATGATATTATGTACATGTTAAAAAAAAAAACTACTGCCACAAATAATTATAATTATTATGGATTATTATTTATTACGTATACTATGTAAGTAAATAGGGATAGGAGAGGGAAGGAGTATATAGAAAAAAAAATAGAGAAATATACAATAAACGCTATTTAAACATGAAATTTATTAAAGATTAAAAAACATACAATGGTTTGTTTTACACAAATTAAAAATACCTGGAGGGTGCAAAGCGGGCTGCGGGGCGGAGCGCCCGGCCTCCGCCGCGGTCTTTAGGTCGGATAGACTTAGTGCGACAGGCCCATACATAGTCCAATAATATAATACCATATCATAAGATATAAAGAGTACACATATACGATACTGCAAGCAACTCAACTCTCATGATAGTCATGTCGCGCTCTCGCGAATATAAAACTAGTTTAAATCTTACAAAAATACTTATGCGACTAATCTGAAATGCACATAGAGGATCTCGCGTCTCGACTACAAAAATATTTTGAGATTGGAATGAAATAACCATAAGTTACCGCCTCGCGCGTCCACGGCCACAGTTACGGTCACGAGGCGGGCACGGCGTCAAACGTCCATGCGCCACTCTCCTATACTAATTGTTTCTCTTCTGCGTCTTAAAGCTAACCGATAGGACCTGCCCGTTGAGCGTGTACCCGTTCAGCGCCTGTATGGCCATGGCCGCCTCGTCGTACTCGCGCATGTTTACGAAAGCGAAACCCTTGTTTTTCTTGGTCTCGGGGTCTTTGATCACCTTGATCGAGTCTATCGCGCCGTAGGGCCCGAAGAGCTGCCACAGCGCGAGCTCCTCGGTGTCCTCGCCGATGTTGTATACGTACACAGTGGTCTGGTGGGGTGCGGGCGGCGCGCCGAGCAGCGGCACGGGGCTGGCGGGCGCGCCGATCAGCGGCAGCGGCGAGTGGTTCGTCGCGGCCATCGGGTTGAAGCGCTGCTGGCCCTTGTTTATGAACGGCAGCGCCTTGCCCGGCGAGGGCAGCAGCGGCGGCGGCGACGCCTGCGGGAAGCCGGGGGCGAAGGCGGCCGGCCGGGCGCCGAACGCCGCGCTCAGGTTGGTCCCGTTGAAGGCAGGCGTGGTGCCGTTGAACACGGCCGGCGCGCCGTTGTACGCGATCGTCGGCGCGCCCGCCACCACCCTCTGCATCGGCCGCGGCGCGCTCTTGTTCGAGTTGGGCTTGTTCGCGAACTTGACCACTATCGCGCCCGCGCCGGCTATCGGCGTCTGCCCGTTCAGGTGGTGTATCGCGTCCTCCGCCTGCTGGCGGCTCTCGAAGCACACGAAACCGATGCCTTGCGACACACGGCTGTTGGTTATGTTGCCGAACTGACTGAACAAGCCGTTGAGCCTCTCCAGTGTCATGTCGGGAGGTAGGTTGCTTATGTAGAGATTCGATTCCGTGTCGGGCTTGTGGCTGACCTTATTCTCCGGATTGAGCAGGGCGAAGGACACTTTTAAAGTTTTCCCCTGCATTAGGAGCCCGTTAAACGCGGCCCGCGCCTTCTCCGCGTCCTCGTGTTTCTCATATTCGACGAAACCATACCCTCTGTTGGCTATTAACTTACAACTCTCGATCTTTCCCATGGCCGAAAATAATGCGTACATCATATCTCGAGTCATTAACTCTGGTATATAGTTGACCATGAGTTTGGTCGGTGACACATTGGTATTAGCGTCGCCGCCGCCATTCTCCACCTTCATGTCGTTTGTTAACATTGTTCTTTTATCGTTCGAACTACACTACGTAAAACAAAATTCTAATAAAACTCACACTGATGGAAGTTAATTATTTCATTTGCAACATAGGAAAAGAACAAAGAATGAACACAAAAAAATCTAAATGTACGAAAACGCCAACAGCAACGCCGGTTCACAGGTTCATCATCACACGACACGAACAAGTTTGTTTTGAAAATGTTACCATTACCAGAATAACAAAATAATCTAATAATGTTAAACAAAGACTAAAAACGAAAAACTAAAATTTAATCAATACTGAAGACCAAGAATTTGTTAAGAAATTATAACAATCCAAATAAAAGTATGTTAATAAAGAATATCGTAAAAAAATATTTTTAGCAAAAACGTGTCTCGTCCTTATTCGTTTAATGTGAAATTCGCTCATTTTGTCTATGGCTTATGGTAAAGATACAGAATGAATAATGATGATTGTATATTAATCATCATTATTCATTCTGTATCTTGTATTTTTTACAATTTTTCTTTGTTTAGAATTTTAATTTGTTCTTTGGAGTTAAATTTTTTACACTGACTTTAACAAGTGTAATTTAAGGTATTTTACTAAATCTTTAAGAGCTTGTACCCCTTTTTACAAAAATTGCACAGACGGAGGAGTATGAAAATTCTCATACTTACAGTTTGTATACAGAACAGAGTGCAGAATGCTATTATTTTTTTTGATTATGCATAAAAATACAGTAAATAAAAAAAACATTACACACACACACACACAGACACATACTCTAATAATTAATTATGATCGAATTTCGACCACTGGGGGACCGCTCGGATAAGTTAATTATTTTTTACAAACGTTAAAAATTTAACTTGTGACTAACTTTACATTCACTTCACCTGATGTTAAATGATTATCGCCAACCATGGACACCTGATTCAAATCATTTGGAAAATGAGGGCCAGAATATCTATATGCAATAGAAAGTTTTAACACTTTAGGAGCTTCGACGTGATTGTTGGGACAACTGTAGCAGTGAGTCCGTACCTTGCTCTTGAAACCTCGTCTCTAGTAGCTGTTCTCTATTTGAATGTAGGGAAAACTAAGTTCTTAAGGGGTTCGGGGGATCGGCATCAGAACACCGCACACGAAACAATTGGGCATAGTTTCGTGGCCGTGAACGAATTTGAACACCTTGGTCCTCTAATAAAGATATACCTGCAGAAATAATAAAAAGTATTTTGTCAGTGAATAAATGTTATTTTGGTCAAAATTCTTTACAAACTCTAATTTAACCTATACCTATGCCCCAGAGACTTGTGTACTCAGCAAACTAGACAAGAACGGTTTGCTCGTGTTCAAGCGTAACCTTTAACTATGAGTTATTCGAACTTTACAAAGAGCTCAATATCATAAAACCCATCGAATTGGACGCTTAAGATAGGCAGGTAATATTGTTAGGATAGGTGACGCCAAAATTTTTATAATTTTAATGGATAATTAGACAATTACTATACGGCAAACTGTATGGCTGCAGAAGCTGTGGCAGGCCCAAACTCGATGGTTTCGTGAGACTTAATAGGAACCTTAAAGTAATTGGTGTGTGGAAAAATATACTAGACCAAGCTAAAAACCACCCTGGATTTCCTAAGATGATAATGGACACCTGATGGGTAGTAGATGCATTCACTATCTAGACGAAATACGAAAGTATAATACTACTACTTCACGCCGACCTCCTGTGCGTGAGGCCTTTACTTCCTTGGATGAGCCTGCTCATTCGTGCAACAGCAGATGCTGCCTGACCCTATAATATAAAGGTTAATCTATAATAGGGGAAATAGTTTAATTATCCTAAACTAATAGTATACGTAATTTAATTTTCGTAATTGATTGCTCAGTGTAGTTATATCTTTAAATAGAAATTTCAGCTTTGTTATTTGCTGGGGATAGGTGATAGATTTTTTCCATCTATCGTAAACAGGGGTCGCGGAGATGCAATGGAGCGAACGGCATTATAGTGTCTTCGTCGTGCACCAGCTTCGTTCTACCTCTGAATCCGCAGATCATCTGCCTGCAGTCTCTCTTAGCTAACAAACTAAATCAAATCAAATCACCTTGATTTGCAGAAATATGGAAATAAAGTTTTCCAACATAGATATAAAGTATAGACATATTTTGCATCAGAAATTTAAATTGTAGTGCTAATCTTTGCACTTAAGATTGAACATTAAAATATGTAGAAAAAAAATTTTTTTTTTTCTACATATTTTAATATTTTGCATCGTTGGCATGCAAATATTTCATAAAATATACTACAAAAAATTAATTATGTAGTAAATATTAAAAAAATTGTAACAATTGGATTTTTTAATAAAATGGTAATGTTTTTATTAACGTCAATCAAGTGCTCTTTTTTATGTAATGACATTTAAATCTTTAAGGAAATTGTTTTTTTTTTTCAAAGTATAAATCTATTTTAATTTAACACGTTCAATAAATATTTCTCACAGCCGAAAAGATTAAAAAAATGTTCTTAACGAACGTGCTACTCAAGAAAACTAAAAGCAAGTAAGTTTGTTAAAACTTGAAAAAATAACCTGTTTTCCTAGATCATATTGCAGATTAGCGGATAGGATTGCGATTCGAAGAATTTCAGAAAAGCCCGCAAGTTTTCATTTTCTTTCAGTAAGACGTGTTATTTGCTGTAGAGAAATAACAAAATATTTCTGAGGGAACAATGTGTTCTGATTGCAGATTTATTATGGTTTTAATGGAAAGTGCTGTATCTGGACACCAATTTAATGCAATACGAGAGAGACTTGCCGATAAACTTGAGCTTATTCGCTTTGATCCATACAGTAAGTTGGTTGATCATTAAAGTTTTCTTAAAATGATAAACATTAGTTATTGTTAGATCCAAATCAGCCTGATGGAAGTGTTAACTAGGCAGATAATAGAATATATATATATATATATATATATATATATATATATATATATATATATATATATATATATATATATATATATATATATATATATATATATATATATATATCTATATATATTAGAGATTGGTAAGAACAATGGATTTTGTTTATGTAAAAAGTTGGCAAGCAAGCAGGCAGTTCACTGATGTTATATGATTACCACCACCCATGGATATCTCTGCTTTAGTATCTGTGTTGTATTGCTAAACTTAAAAAAGGTGGGCACCAATTACCTAACTTGAATAATTGCCGTGAATAGCAAAGATTTTCAAGGTGGTTTTGCTGACCATGAATACAGTATAGTAGATAACAGAAAATGATATTTTCATTAAAGAATTCCCAGTTTTATTAACTGATTGCAGCCAAAAAGTAGTGTTTTACATTAATGTTTATTATGTATTTTAGTCCCTATTAGATATACAAGTGTCATTGATTCCTAACTTCAACATTGATTTGTGGTAGTGGGACTGTACTGTAATTAAGTAGATTTTGAAGGTTTTAATTGAATTTTAAAAGTTTTGGCATTGAAACTCAAAGGTTCTTGCTCTCTGTCTGTCTCTTTTTTTTGTTGTGACACATTGGTCTTAAGGCATGTGAAATTGTTAAATGGAAAGTTGCTAAAGTAAAGGCCCATTTACACGATGCCATTTTCTTGTACATACAAGAGCAATAATTGAATGCAATAAATTGCGCAAGTCAAAACAATTAGACAAGTCAAAACACATGCTTGTATGTGTGTGTACAATTTATTGGCGTGTTGCTTCAAGTATTGCACGTATTTGCGTTGACAAATTTTTCATGCAAGTGTTGAATGTTTTACAAAGGGCTGTTTTTTTTAAAAAATGGCTCAATAATAAATGTTCAAGTGAGATTATGCCGATTAAATATATTTCATTGAGATTTATTTATTATGATCCATATATTATTATTCATATTTTTATTTTTATTTTTTTACGACCTTTTCTCAATATTTCTATCCTCAAAAGAACAGCCACGATTAAATACCCTCACTCCTTGCACTATTTTTTTTTTAATTTTTCACAAATGAAAAGAGAATGCAATTGAATACAAGAATTGCTTAAGAAATTATTGTGTGTGCTGTTTACACCAAGGAAAGTTTGAAACAAAACTTGAAGCAAGTCTTGTTCAACAGTCAAGAATGTTATGTGTTGTTTATACAATGCAACTCATTTATTGCTTCAATTTAATTGTATATAACAGGCAAGAAACTTGCACCGTGTATATGGGCCTTAAGAAGTAACACTGGCTACTGTACTGAAGTCAGGAGTAAAACTGGCTACAAGAATATGTTGTTATTCATTTCTTGCTCTGGGTTGACTTTTACCAGAGTAACAATTCTTTAAATGAGAATTGAACTTGCTGAATACAGAAAATTTGTAAAATAAAATAATTTGTAAACAACAAATTATTTTATTTTGCTGACTGTTTTTAATAAGCTAACATGGCCTTACGGCTGTTTGTGCAGATGTTAAACATCTGTGTAACTTGTTTTCTTTAGTGAATTTTGTTTGCTGTTTCCAGTACAACATGAGAGTTTATACAAGGAAAGAAAGAAGATAAGGAGCATCAAGTAAATTAGACATAAATTAGACACACGGTGATATAAGTTAATTTAAGGTAGTTAAAAATAAAATATGAAATTTTTCAAATGTATTTATTTAGTTCTTTTACTTTACAACAATAAACCAGATCTATAGAATATAGGGTGTTTTAATAGAATGATTTTAAATCAGAATTCATAATAAATGAGAGTATTTTAAGTACTATAACATTTTAAAATGCTTATACTCCCAATAACATGTAATTTGAAATATTTTATATATTATATAATTAACATGGCTGCACACTTACAATTAATAGAATATTTGATAATTTAACTTTTATAAATATTGCCAAATAATTACTTGTTAGTATGGTGCTAAAAGCATTGCATTGTGAAGTGCACTTGATTAAAATCTGATTGTTCTGTGACAAACAAACTATAACTTAAACTAATTCCAAACATAAATGTAACATCTTAATAGAATAGTAGGAATAACATTAAAAGGTGCCATATTATAAATAGTCCAACACAGTCAATAATTTTTTTAATAATACTAGTCATAATCATAAATATTATGAAACACTAAAAATACTCTCACTATAATCTTACATTCTAACATTAAACGATACAATACAACAATTGGAACATCAAAGCTTTAAATGAATTCATATATTTTTATTAATTAATAAAATCAACTTTTGAAATATTCCCTTAATATATTAAACGGTGGCAAATTATTAGGTTTTTTAATGTTCACTTAGTAAACTTATACATAAAATTGACTAGAATGAATTTATGTACTTAACCACCTAAAATGAAATAAAATAAGATTTTCATGATCTCATAGAAATCCATATCATTTTATAATCATAAATACCACTTTATAATCATGATTTTGAATCAAATTACAATCAAATTGTAACTATATGCTATTTAACCTACAAGAAACTTTGGAATTTCCTCAACTAATATTATTATTCTTATAATTTATATTTAATAGTCCTATTTCAAGATACAGTTATGAAATAGTTTCAGTTAATTGATTCCTTGATAGTTGGTCCTCTAACAACAAGTATGATTAAAAAAGAGAGAAATGGAATGATACAATCATATATTTTAAAAAAATACAATGGCACTATTTTAGAAAACTAAGAGTTTTTTTCAAATTTGTAAAAGCACAAATACAATCAGTTTCTACAATTTAGGACCATTGGAAGAGAAAAGAAAAATATTACAAGTCACTTACATGTCTTAACAAGTGCCTTATTATGAAAAACTCTGATTTAACTATTTATTCCTACTTGATCCGTAAAAAAGAAGTTTCTTTTTAATTAATTAAAATTGGATGATGTGATATGAAACATTTTGTGATTGTGAGAGTTTAGTAAAATCAAAATATAGACCAAGATATTCATAAAAAGAATTCATCAGTACTTTAAGAATTTGATTAAACTATTAACATTTATCATTAAGTAACTTATAGATATGAGATTTGAAATGACTTATTTGAATACCATATAATTATGTTTATATTGTCAAGGGAAAATGCTCTTTAGGATGCATCTGAAATGTTAAACTTTACTTAATCATAATAAAGGTAATAATTGGTAGCAACATTGGTACATCGGTTTGAATTTACAGTCATTATCTAAAACTTGAGACGATATCATTTGAGTCTAGGCAGAGCCAAAGAAACTAACACAGACTGGCCAAAACTCAGAATGTTGGAACAAGTGTGCTCCTTTTTGCCAATTTTATTTCCTCATTCTCCATGTGGCTATCCTGGTAATATAGCATCAGTATTGAATTTTTTTTACATTTACACTAAGTTAAGACATTGTATAATTGTAATATTTTAACGTTTTTAGAAGCAATTTATAAGATATAATTATATGATCTAACATTAAATAAAGATATAATTCTGCAACACGATATTCAAAGGTTTATTTTTAGGGAATTGAATAATTACATTTTTTCAAAGGAAAATATGTTCTTCATTGGTAACATATTTTTTTTTTTTGTAGAAAACTAGACAAAGTATTCAATTTAACATAAATACTGAAAATGCTAGGAAAAATTACGAACATATTCAATTCCACACCGAGGTAGTATATATTATGTACTTTGTTTCTTTTATTTGTCAGTAATTAGCCCCATAACTAAATTGTTTTTAATGCAAACAGATAATAAATTTGCATTATATGTTTGCACTTTATGAGGCTGGAGTTATTTTTATGTTGACTATATACATAGACATAATAATTAATTATTATAAAACCTTAGTTGAAGAAATACTACAAATGATTTGTTATACATGATCATAGTTTTATGTAAAAAGTATTGCAGTTGCAATATTGTTTATATAGATTTATTAAGAAACCCCACTCATTTACATAAGTTACAACAATAATATAGTGTATATATTTAGTTTATTATATACTTATAAATGGTGCATCACAATTTTCATAGTTTAGTGCATTTATGTCTACAAACCCAATACACCATATAATTTATATGATATTTATTATGTTTCCACAATTTTTTTATTATGTTAGTTTAAATTGTGGGTATGAGGTATTATTTATTTTATCCCTTAATCCAAGAAAATATATTAACAAATCTTGAAAAGATTTCAATGCATCTAATATATTCCATTTCCTTCAGAAGATCTCTTGGTGATAACTTGGTGATAAAATCTGATTTCTAACCCAATTAATATTATTATGCTTGACAAAGAGACTGTTTAATATACATGTTATTGACAACACATATGTTTATCATACAGTAAATATATGTGGCGACATTGAAAATTGTAATTGATAGAGAATAAAATATACTCAGCCACATTGTTAATTAAATACATAAATATAATTTTTCTATGTGACACTTAACAGTAATATATCAGTGTTGATAAGAATAATAAGATAACTACAACTTTCAGTGTTGTCTCTATTCCAAAGCCTGCACTAAAACATATTCCATAGTATGTAACAACAATTTTATTTAAAAATGAAGTAAAATAATCTGTGATTACTTCCACAGACTATTTGTTTTGGGCTTAACAACTCTAAGAGAATGTTATTAAATCTCGTGTAATAGTCGATGTTTTGAAAGAAATTTGGCCAGCGCAAACCAGCCAACTCAAAGGAAATTACGGTATCAGTTGGTTTCGAGAGCATAAATTCGTCAGTTTTTCATAATTCATGGGCCGGTTTCAATATTCTATCTCCTTCTTCTTCTAAGGCAGTTTGCGGTCCTTATGATATCGCCAATGACACTAAATATTCTATCTATCTTTGGATTTGGTTACTGGTGATATTTTGACATAAGTATTATGGAGCTATTTACTGTTGGTTGTTAGTTTTAGTGCAGGTTTGTTTTGGTAATTGCCGCTACGCTATACTCCTCCAAGAGCGGCGCGAGGTCCGGATACTTTCATGCGAAGAACTCCGTCTTTCCCGCCATCTCGTACTCTGCCTCTTCCATCTTGTACATTTCGATCAGCTGTCATGAAAGAAAATGTGTATGAAAATGCGCAGACAATCTGCGTACTTACTATTACTATTAGTACTTATATTGTGTTACACACTCTGTTATTGTTTCATTTTATTGTTACATCTTTAGGATAACACTACATTAATTTAAGTTTTTGTTGAGAGGTTGTGATAGCAACACTAAAGTGCTTGGTGGTAGGGGCACACAACAGTTCGGTCACAACAGTAAGGTCCTGTCCGGGTAAGTACCACAACCTCACAGAAGACTGTCTGGCGAGTGAGGTAGCCGGGGCCCACTTAATTAAAGGCAACGCATCTATTATCCTAGGGGTGTTGCAAATGTCAATGGGCTGTAGTTATCACTTAACATAAGGTAAAGTGCCAGCTCGCCATTTTTTTAATGAAAAAACCATTTAATGAATGATTTGATTCTGCTACAAATATGGTAAGCTTGGGCTTTGAAGCCATTTGACGGTCGGGTGTAGACAGAGCGTCTACAGATAAAGAAAATGGAGTTCACTCACGTTGTCAACGTCCTTGACCAGGTCCTCGAGCTGCTTGTCATGGGTGCCCTTCAGTTTCTCCTTTTCGCGGGTGTGCTTGATGATTTGGGTCTGCAAAAGGAACAAAAAGAAATAGTCAAATTCAGTAAGGTTTTTCTGCCGTATTTAAATTACACAGGAACTTAGTCTCTCCCGACACTTAGGCTCTATCTGAGAAGACGGTGTTATTTAATTTTATTTTTTGTGTATTCGACCCGCGTAGTGGGTAGTGACCTCTCTTGCGCCAGAGGGTGTGGATTCGATCCCGACTATTGGAAAAATGTTGTTGTTATGAACATTGTGTTTTTTCCAGTGACTGGGTGCTCATATATCTATAATACTTATTTATTTACAAATGAAAAATTTGCTTGCTTAATTTGAAAGTGTTGCTTAGTTTGGGACAAGAGAACGCTGCATAAAAATGCCCTATAATATTCATACTCATTTTATTAAATGTGTTGCGGTACCCACCTTCCTTTCGTCCATGAACTTCTTGGTGTTGTTCTGCTTCTTCTCGCGCAGTCTCCGGTCCTTCTCCTGCTTGGTCTTCAGGGTCTTGTCGTTGGCGACCTCCTTGCTGGTCTCCATGCTGATCTTCGCTTGGCGAGCGTTCATGTCCTTCAGCTCGCTGTGTAAAAATATTTAGTAAACTCTAAAATGTCATATGCTTTTTTATTAGTAATAGCTAAATATAGAGAGTTAAAAGAACACACACATTACTGGGATGGACGAGAGAGGGGTCATAATAGCGTCTCTGGATCTTTTTTTAAATAAAGTTATTTTGTAAGTAGCTAAGATTACTTTTAAATTGTGATTTTTTGTAAATAAATGAAGAAGCTTAGTATAGCATAGTAAGCGTAGGAATTATGTTAAAAGGGTGCAAAGTGGGAAATTGAATAGTGATAAAGGGAAGAACCTTCTTTCTTTGAACATTCTAATTATATTATTCTCACTAAAAATTACTAATAAGGACATGGTAAAATCGAGAGAATGAAAGTGTAGAGAAGTGTGGCGTTTAAGTCGTATTATGGAATAAACGCAATTGTAACGACTGTTAACATTAGATTGTAATTTTACCACAACTTTTTAAAATTAACTTTTATTTTATTGATTAATCGACTGCAAAAAACACGTAGGTTTCTCAATTCGACCGTATGTATTTTTATTTTTTTTATGTCTGTTCGCGGATAACTTCGTCGTTCCGAAACGATTTTGATGATTCTTTTTTTGTTGGAAAGTAGAATTGGGAGAGGTCATTCAAGGTCATAGCACGATGGCGGCAAGCGCGTCTCGACACGAATCGGGATAGGTCATTCAAGGTTATGGTCAGCATGATAGCATAAAGCGCGTCTCGTCGCGAATTGGGAGAAGTCATTCAAGGTCGTGGCCTGCATGATGGCAGAAAGTGCGTCTCGTCACGAATCGGGAGAGGTCGTTCAAGGTCGTGGCCAGCATGATCGCAGAAGGCGCGCCTCGTCACGATTCGGGACCTCGACGTCTACCGCCGCCTTGGCCTTGAACGACCCCATCCAAGGTCAAGGAGTCGGCAGAGGCCACCGCAGGTCGGCCTCACCGGTCGTGCTTGGCCTCGAGCTGCTTCATCTGCGCCAGCTGGCTCTGCTCCATCATCTTGCGCAGCAGGTCGCGCTGCTCGTGCAGCCGCGTGCGCGCGCCGGCCAGCTCCTCGAGGCGGTGGCGCGCCGCCAGCTCGCCCCACGCCGCCGACTGCTCGCCCACCAGCTTGCGGAACGCCGCGTCGCCGCTCAGCTGCTCCTTGCTGCGGCGCGGACTCTTTAGACCCCGAGCCGATCCTAGCTGCCACCCAGGGTGTACCTAGTCCCATCCCTCCCCCCCTAATCCCTATGGCATTAATGCGGAACCCCGACTCTTTAGACCCCTACCTGCCCTCTATTACCTATATAATGGGGACAGAACGCCTAGCTAACTAAGCCTAGCTGTAAACCCGGGTACAGTGCCGACGCTCGCCCATTTTCCCTACATAATTGGGATGGACGCCGCATACACGCTCAGCCGATCCTAGTTGCAACCCGGATATATCTAGTCCCGTCTCTCCCCCATATTCCTTATGTTATTAATGCGGAACACTCCGTCTACTAACAGATGCTCCTTACTGCGAAACCCCCATAGTCCCTATGTAATCGGGGCAAAACGCCGCATGCACATGTTCGGCAGATCCTAGCTGCAAACCCAGCTAGCTTAAGTGCCAACGCTCCCCATTTTCTCTATGTAATCAGAGCAGAACGATGATTATACGTTCAGCTGCTCCTTGCTGAAAACTTATCCATCGTTAGTGCCAACCCACCTCCTATTATGTTAAGCGTTCTCGTCTCCTTGTCCTCTAGATTTCTACTACTTTTTACTCGAGCCTGCCCATTCCTGCAACATCCGAAGCCGCGGCGTTGCCCTACGTATAAGTGAAAAGTACAGGTGAACTCGATAAAGCGGCAGAAACTCAAACTCACTTCTTCCCTTTGATCATCTTCTCGAGCGCCGCGCACTGCTGCTTCTGCAGCGTCATCTTCTCCTTCGAGTGGCGTTTGCGCATCGCCTCCAGCTCCTTCTGCTGCTTCCTGCCGGTCTTCAGGAAGCCCTTCTCCTGCCTGAGCGACTCCACGGTGATCGGCTCGAACACCAGAGGCGGCTCTGAGGAGATCGGGAGAGCGGCTAAGAACTTGCGAACTTCTATCGTGTCCCTTCACCCATTTTCTCCAAACATCAAATTTTTTTTCGGAGAAAATAGTTGAACATTTCATTGTAGTGAGACAGTGTGCTGAGAAAGCATCTTATGTACATTATACATACATTTTAAATAGTCTGTATGTATTACATTATATAACATTTGCATACAAACATATACAATATATAGGCCACCAATGCAGAAAATTCTCCGTTTGAGAATTCGAGACTCACGCTGAATAATTCCAAGCTTCCGTTTTTCCGTCAAGGCTTTTATTGAGTAAGTGCGATTACTAGGTGTTAACATAGTTGTGATTATATTACGAATCATTCGGCGGTAATCCACTATTAGCCACTTCATATATTATTCAGGTCACCTGCTCCATCAAGAACAACGATAAGTAACTCGTAGCTGACTCGAACTAAAGGCGCTGTGGAAATCAGTATTTTAGCCAAAACGCATGTTAAAATATAAAATTCATACACCAAAACTTTTGATTTAAAAAAAATACATTGAATAAATTGAAGGAAATAAATATTAATTTGGTTTTTGTCGTTAAATTAATCTAAAAGTTATTGTTAAAAAGTTGCTAATAGACGCGAGCGGCAATGATACGAAGCGGCTAAATTTAAATATGGAAAAAGCACATCGAAATCTATGATATTACATATTTCTAAAACTCCCGGACACCTTTCCAGGTAAAACTACAAAATCATTGTACTATAAGAGGAAAATCGGAGTGGTGAAAAAATTTAAATCTAAACAGTGCGGTTAGCCTTACATCTAAAAACCAACGAATTTTATGATCTTAGTACGATGTTTCTTAAATTCTTTCACGCAACACGAATACTGTTGCTGGTGGCTTGTTCTTACTGTTCGTCGTTAACTGTTTGTTCGAATTTTCTTTTAAGTAAGTCTTTAAGTTTTGATTATGTATTAGACAAGTATACAATAAAAGTATTTACGAGACAAAATCTTGTTGTATTTTTTTATGTTCGTTACAACAGAACTCCGTTATTTATGAAGGTATTTTAAAAATTGTTTTTGCATTGGGTTCGGGTTAACTCCCATGTTAATTTCATTGTACCATTTCATTTAAGACCTTTGAGTCCGGAAATATAGCGATCTGTTCAACATAGAAAATAAAATATATTTTAAGTCAGTTTTTGGTGTTAGTTCTATTGTGAAAATATTTTTACCGTTTTTTTAATAAGCCAAATTGTTTTCGACACCCTGATGTTTTCAAGATGACGACCGTCCCCGCACAATAGATACTGATTTTTCAATAAATAAATGAGATGAGTGATCCACAAAATTATATTTCAGATAGCTCAGTGTCCTGGACAGGCTTACTTCAGAGCTCTCAATACTATATTTTTCATCTTAAAAAAATTTTGAACCTTTCAGAGATTTCCTAGTGATTTCCAGCAGCCGCGGCACGAACATGTAACTGTACATGAATTTATTTATATCCATCGTGTCCGTCTGTCTATAAATATGATAACCACAAACGTTACTGATACACTGAATTATTTTATTTATATCTATTTTCGTACGGCACAAATGCGGAGTTTGAACGTTTGGCGCGTGCGTTATGGGACGCGATGCAACAAGCGACTATCGCACCGGAGCAAGGTAGGCAAAGTTCCGAGAATACAGCGGATCAAGCCATAAGCGGGTAGCGGAGAACATTTCTTCCATCGTCAATTAAATACAATACTAGTGGTCGACCAGTGGTCGTAATTCGACCATAATTAATGATACATCGCATTGTGTGTAATGTTTTTTTTAATTTATTTAATGTATTTTTTATGCATTATCACAAAAATATTAGCATTTTGCACTCCTATTATTATATTCTCTATATAAACTATAGGTGTGGGAAATTTCATACTTCTCCGTCCGCGCAATTTTCTAATAATGTATAGAAGAAGAAGAAGATTATATTAGCTTTCTTATTGTTTTAAATACCAACCACGTAACGGACATTGCCTAATTTTGTGCATGGGGTTTTTAGTTATCAGATATCTGTTGTCCAAAAGTCATCCTCACAATTATTTAAGTATTAAATACATACATTATTTACTTTCTATTATTAAAACAGTTTCGATGCTCTTCCTCAGCAATCTCTGTATCTGTATCTCATTTTGTGGGTGAAGGAATATGTAAGTTTGAGTTAAACTTATATATCCTGATATAACTACTATAAGATGACAAAGTACATCCTTTGAAATGGCTAAAATATAAAGTAATATAGAACGTGTAATGGTACTGACGGTCTATAAATGTCATAAAGATAAGTCGAATGACTTTAGTGCACTCTAGGAAGGAAACATGCGGACTATATAAACATTGCCTATGAACGAATTAATTAAATTCACAGATATTTACTATTTTTTTTTATTTAAAAATTTATTGTTTACACCCCAAAATAAGGCCAAACAAAAGGCAAACTTAATGCTAATAAGCATTCTCTTCCAGTCAACCCTGGGAGTAGTGAAAAATTTGACGTAGGTCAAAACAAAATCCAAAATCCAATATTTTGATAAGATAGTATGAATAGTGAACACCGACTGCGCTTTTTGTTTCGAAACACAGGTCTATGTTATCGTTATTTTCTGAAATGTAACTACAACCGTTCTTAGTGTTTTGGGAAAAAAGTACATATTTTTATTAATAAAAAACCAAACCAGCTTTAAACATCGCAATAGATTTTCTATTTGATTTTAAGGAGTTTCCTGATGTATCAATGAAATGAAATTAATATGAGACCACATCGAAGCAAAATCGAAACGTAAGAAAAGAAGGATATACTTAATGTTACATTTACTTTACATTTACATTTAGTCTACGGCACTGAAATATTGAGATGTTGCATAAAAGATCTGATCAGCGACTATGATTGATTCCTTCGCAGCAGGTAAAAAATATTGCGTAAACAAAGAATTTCTCACTACACAGTTTTTAGGGTTCCGTACCCATAGGGTAAAACCTGACCCGATTCCTAAGAGTCTGCTGTCTGTCTGTCTGTCTGTCCGTCTGTCACCAGCCTGTATCACATGAACCGTGATAGTTAGACTGTTGAAATTGTAGCAGATGATGTATTTCTGTTGCCGCTATAACAACAAATACTAACTATCACGATTCATGAGATACAGCCTGATAACAGACAGACAGACAGACAGCGAAGTCTTACTAATAGGGTCCCGTTGGGTACGGAATCCTAAAAATATTTAAGTGTTACTCCCATACAACAGACATCTTTTTTTGCCGAACGGTACGGAACCCTTTATGCGCGAGTCCGACTCTCACTTAGCCGATTTTTTTGCATACATATCCACAAATTTAGTAGAAACAATGCGCGCACGCGTCAACGGAAGCGGCGGTGCTCTGGCTGACGTCAAACGCCCACGTAGCCAGTTGCGGGAACGCCTCGAAATAAACGCGTTTCCCGCAAATAAACAGGGAATGGCACGGTAAAAGTCTACAAGTAGCTGTTAGAGAAGTTAAGTGCCAATCGATGAAGGAAAAATGACTTCTGCCAACTAAAATTACTAAGTCATATATTTGAGATGGTGTGCGGAAGGACATGACAATTGATCCGCCAAGCAAGGGGTAAAATGCGAAAAACAATGTATATAATATAAGATACGGCGAGATTTAAGTGGTTAAAGCGGCTGGGCACGAACCCGAAAGGCGTGGGTTTGATTCCCGTTTGTTCAAATGAATCATGATAAAAGACTTTATTTTATTTTGATATGTGCTTTGGTTTTGTTGGTTGTTTCCATTCCATTTGGTATGTTTACGCATTTTGTTGAAGTATTTATAAACTTTGTATAATCCAGCGAATTCTAAAGTTATCAGTCAGCGATGAATTTAATGCACGAAAAGCGTATCCAATTTTTCCAGTGAGTGTAAAGACGAATATCGGTAATTTATTCGTATGCTTATAGAATGTAAAATATTAATAATTAAATATTACTGTTTAATACTAATTAGCGACAAGTAGGAGCGTGCTGCCTTCATAGAATACATAATCAAGTTGCGTATCCAGTTGAAAATTCACGTATAAAACCGCTCCGCTTAAGACTTGGACCGGACGTACCTCGCCCGAAATACACGCTGCTGTCATACAGCGAATTTAACGCGGCCCGCGTAGTTAGCGAAAATTATATATAATATTATCGGAATAAATCGGTGTATGTAAACTATACTGCTTTACTAAGAAATATGCGCGTGAAATCTCTCAACATCGTAATATAGTTAGTTATTGATCCCTATATAATGTTTATCGCGGGTGAAAGTAGCACATGAAGGCTATTTTTGATAAAAGTACAAGTTTAGACAGGATATGGAATACAGAGTTGTTTTTATGATGACTCCGTGGCGAAGTTGTCAAGGTATTGGCTTGGGCACCGGACTTCGTGAGTTCGTTAGTACTATGATAAAATAATTATGTGAAAATAAGTAGGTATTTGTCTGTCAAATCGATCTGTATTAATACGAAAAATCTAAATTTTTGACCGAGCTGATGATTTAAAAACTTATTAATTTAATTTATTGGAGTTCAAGTTTTTCTTTATACTTATTCTTGACGCTGTGGGTTGGTTACCAGGTAGATTTTAGACGGATATCCGACAAATAATCTTAGACAATTTGAATTCGTCAATATAGAAATTATTAATATATGTCTATTTATTGTTACTGTATTTTAGAGCCGTGATAGCTCAGTGTCCGGGCGCTCGCCTTTAATTCAATATACTCGAGCAACCTGAGTTCGATCCCCGGTGCCGGCACCAATGAAGTTTTTAACTTTAAGTGCTGAATTATCACGTGCCCCGCGGTGAAGGAAAACATCGTGAGGAAACCTGCATATTTTCGGAATAATAACAAAAAAAAAATGTATTTCAAAAATATGTGAAGTCCGCAAATCCGCAGTGGGGCCGCGTGGTGGACTATGCCCTGATACCCTCTGTATAGAGGAGGCCTTTGCCCAGCAGTGGTGTATAGGCCGTTACTTTACTTTTACTGTATCGGCGTACTATATGCTGTGGTGTAACAAATATATAGCACATTAAATACTTTAAATTGAGAGGACCTGACTTTATTTTGCTACACGGAAACTAATAAATAACAAATCAAATCCCCACCAATAGTAATTTTCAAATAAGTAATTGTTACAATATAATAAAAATAAATAAATAAGTTCTTTACTTTATCCATAAAGTACTATAGTCATTAAAAATATTTAATCAAAAGCAATGTTGGCAACCCTATCTCGAATATATTTTTTTCTTTCTTCTCTTTGTATTTGCTCGCAAAATAGGTATTGAACAGGAGAATGTTTTTTATACTTTTTATTCCGAAGGTCCAAAGGAAACAAAGCTAGTGACTTTTACTATTATACAACGTGTCGTTACCATCGCGACAATAAATTAACACACGTCTCTCGCTACTTGCCAATAATCATAACAAAATATTATCGTTAAACGAAATCCATAATTAAAATAAAATATTTTTCAAATAAACTAATTAAGTAAAAAAGAAATAAAATTTGTAACATCCTATACAACTCACGCCACAGCGTCGCATTACAAGTCTGTCCTTCTAACAGCATGTTTTGTCTCTTTTAAATTCATTCAACCCATTCATATGCTTTGTGACCTCTACAAATGAACTTTACGTTACAGTTTTATACGTAAGGTGTTCTAAAATTCTTTGTTTTGGACAATTTAATAACTCTGTAAATATTGATGTTTAAAGAATGTAAATGTACAATTTCAAAAAGTTATCCCCTATATATGTGTCCATTTATTGTCGCGATAAATAAAAACAAATAATCTTTATTCAATATAGGCCTAACTTAAGCTCCTATTGAACGTCAACAAAAAATCTACCACCGGTTCACTAAACTAGAACTGAACAGAGAAGAACCGTCAAGAAACTCTGCGGTCTTGTTCTTTTTGTTATTTGTCCATTGTGGGGCTCCTAGGGTCGGTTCTATTTGGTGGTCTGTTAGTGGCGAGTGGGGGTGGGGGTGGGGGCTTACCTTCTTTCTTCTCCTCGATGGTGACCTTCTTCTCGGGCGCGCTCTCCTCGATGCCCAAGGCCTTCATGTTGTCGGTCCGCTCCTTGGCGGCGCCCATGAACGCGCGAGGGTCCGACAGGGCCGCCATGAAGTCTGCACACACAAACATACAGTGTCTAAGATCTCAATCATTTATTGTTGGATGCAGATAAGGCAATTGACCACGTGTTTGGTTTTCTGTGCCGATTAGTCAAAAGCCATCCATAAAATGAGGAATTTCAATCACTTTCACAGAACAGGTCGGTTTGACTGTAGGGCTCTAGCATCGGAAACTTGTCACAAATGAGAGGTAAATCACATAAGACGATGATGACCTTCTTTAAGTTTATTTTTTGTGGTGACCATATAAATCAGATCATCAGGATTGGTGATTTCTATCTAAGAACACGATCTTTAAAACAACAACGACATTAACGAGTGCTGGAAGACCTCTCGGGCCAGTATTATCCCCGGGAAAATTTCAAAAGGCACTCCTTAAATATCGACCCCATTCGCTCTCCGAAGCCATCTGCTGGGGTTAATTAGAAGCCGTTATCTTCATGACGTAGTTTCCAAGCTATAAGGCTAATAAGGCTTCGACGCCGGATGTCGTGGGTTCGATTCCCACGTGGGATAGTTATTAGTGTAGCCCACTGACAATTGTTCTTTGTTCGGATCGTGGTTTTTGACCACGCGTCTACAACAAACAATCCATAATATCCATCATAAAACATCCTAACAACCAAGGACAATATTTACAGCAAGGGGCGATATTTTCGAGGAAAGGACTACAATAGATCATCATCAGGGCCACGCAGCAGCGTCGCCCGTTGCACGAATGGGCAGGTCCATCCGGAGTGAGTTAGGCAGCCGGGCCCATTTCAGCAGCGAAGCCAATACCTTCGAAGCCGTCGGGCACGTAGATCTTGAGCTCGATGTTGCAGAAGAGCATGGGCAGCGACATGGGGAAGTTGGCCTCGGTGCGCAGCGAGATGTGCCGGTAGCCGGCCTGCAGCCCGTCCAGCGGCAGGATGCGCTGCCCCAGCAGCTTGCCCGACTCCTCGTACACGCCGAAGCGCAGCACGGCCAGGTCGGGCAGCACCACCTGCCCCGAGGGCCAACCAGAACTAATCTAGCTGCACAGTATGTAGAATATAGAGATACAGAAACTAAGATTCGTTCAGATCCCGACACCGGTTTCCAGTCCAATGTCCACGCAAATCTACCAGGTGACCTGCCGAATCGGACGATTCAGCGCTGGTGGCTCAAGAACACTGACCTACCAGAAACGGTAGCACCACCTGCCCATCAGTCAAGTAGGAGACCAGGTTCAGAGCTGGTAGAGCGAACGCCACTCCCCCGCCACGTTAGGCTTTGTACGAGTTGTAATTCAGTACTGGTCTCTGCATCTTAGATGATACTTCAAACTCTACCAAGTCCAGAAGCACCAACTACCCACCCAGTGCTTAGGGCTGGTCTCTGTGCAGTATGTTAAGTAAACGTTTCTGCATCAGCATTCAATACAAATTTAGGTCTAGTCTGGTACCACCTGCCGGTACCTAGCAATTAAATTAAAAATCTGTCAGGTCACGTTAACCGATACGAACTGGGAGCCTTCAAGGAGTGAGCATACTCCTAAAGGCCGGCAACGCATCTGTGAGCCCTCGGATGTTGTAGGTGTCCATGGGTGATAATTACTCACTATCAGGTGAGCCCCCTGCTCGTTTGCCCCTTTACCCAGCCGTGCCCAGTGACTTAGCCATCGCGTAAAACTAAGCATCAGCTGCGGCCCTGACCTTGCGGAAGAGGAACGGCTCCTCGTTGTAGACGGGGTTGAGCCCGTTGGCGGGCACCATACGCGTGCGGAACTCTTTGCGGATGGTGTCCGACGGCAACCCGTACATGTCCACCTCCACGTACGTGCCCACCTTCTTGTCCGACAGGAACTGGCCGGCTATCACCTGGAGAGGGGGAGGGGGTCAATAGAAATCTTTCCTTTATCAAATATTTTATTTACGTCATCACTCAAGGAAGGAGAGGGGGGAGGGGGGAATGAGATCGGCACATGTCAGTCGAAATTTCTTATAAAGCTCTCATTTAACGGTGCTAGGGCCACGCAGCAGCCTCGGCTGTTGCACAAATGGGCAGGCCCGTCCGGGTAAGTACCACGACCTCGCAGAAGACCAGCGTAAAGTGGAAGAATGACAAATACTTTCGCGTTTATTCCGGTGAGTGTGGTAGCCGGAGCCCAATTTTCAAAAGTTTGTCAACGCACCTGTATCCCTCGGGTGTGGCAGATGTCCATGGGCGGGGCGGTATTCACTTAACATAAGGTGAACCGTCTGCTCGTTTGACAACGTTTTCGCATAAAACAAATTGAACGTCTAACTACCACGTTCTAACTATCCGGAGAAAGGTCAGGCGAGTTCGAGCATCGAACCTGGACCGAGCACTGCGCGGCGATGACGCCGTCCACTGGCGCGTCGGCGAAGGGGTCGAAGCTGCGGTCGGCCCTGCGCATGAAGTCCGGCTTCAGCAGGTAGCCGCAGTTGCCGTTGTACTCGAACTTGCCCTGGTTCAGCTGCATCGGCAGGTCGGACGTCTGGAAGTTCAGCGACACCATCTGGCAGCCCGCGTTCCAGAACACCTGCGGAGGGAGCGGGGGTCGGCTTACGCTGGTCGAAGATCCGGCGCGAAGGACCGGTAAGGAGCGAGCGAAACTTAAGACATTCATTCCGTCACCTTATATGTGATGATAAAGATTAATTAATTATAATAACATTAGCAGCGCCGTCCGTGTGGGATTTAAAATAAATAAATTTTAAAATAAAGATAGAAGATAAGAAGAGAAAGTAGAAGATAAGTAGCCTACGTTACTCCTTACATCAGCTATCTGCTAGTGAAAGTCCCGACAAAATCGCTCCAGCCATTTCGGAGAATAGCCGGAACAAAGAGACAGACAGACCGATTTACGCGATTACACATTACTAAATGAAACTATGTTTACGGATTTATCGCGTTTATTTTTGGTTCTAAATCCCGACGTTTTGAACCCTTTACAGCATTCATGGTCACGGGACAGGCTGACGCGTTATAGTTCGCGATTTGTTTACTTTGATAAACATAAGAGTGACGGATATTGTTGTTTCCTTGGCATCGCACCACATAGTAAGGCGATTGGCTAAGCACAGAGTGCATGTATAGACTGTTTCTTATTTAGAGTGCCGTACTCAAACGGGACCCTATTAGAAAGACTCCGCTGTCTCCGTGTTCTATCTGTTCGTCTGTTATCAGGCTGTATCTCATGAACCGTGATAGTTAGTTGAAATTTTCACAGATGATGTATTTCTGTTGCCGCTATGACAAAAAACAAACACATAATAAAAAAACAGAATATAGAAATATTTAAGTGCGGCTCTCATACTATACTATATAATGGTACGGAACCCGTCGTGCGCGGGACCGACTCGCACTTGGGCGGTTTTTTTAGTTTAACAAACATAGAGTAAGGAGATATACCTGCGGCATGTAGTTGGAGGAGTCCGCCCTGGTGCCCTTGGGGTAGATCCTGGACATCTGCCTCTTGTTGTAGTTGACGAAGTCGATCGCCTGCGACTTGAGGTAGTTCATGCCGGTGGTCTCCGCGAACGAGGACATGTTGTGGTAGATGTTCTTCTCTGCGGGTCCAAGGTCAAGGTCGGTTTATCGTTCGTTTTTTTTTAATCTGAGAAAGTGGCAAAGTGATAACCGCCGCCCACTGACATTTGCAAATACCCGTAGGGTTGCAAATGTGTTGCCACCTATAAATTAAGTGGGCCCCGGCTACCGCACTCACCAGACGAAACCCCGAAGTGTAACACTTCTACTTTACGCCGGTCTTCTGTGAGGTCGTGGCACTAACCCGGACGGACCTGCCCATTCGTGCAACAGCGAACACTGTTGCGTGGCCCTACCACAGTGAAATAGGTAACGCAAGGAAGTGTATTCTTGTACCAAGAAGAGAGCCTGATTTATTATAAGGTGGCAACGCATCTGCAATCCTACGAATGTTGCAATTTTCATGGGCGGCGGTTATCACTCAACATCAGGTGAACCGCCAGCTATTTGCTACCTTCTTACATAGAAAAAAAGATGGTGTGACCTTCGTTGTTTCAGGTCATAGGGTTTGATCCTGCTACGTCCACGTGTACTTGATACTACGGAAGAGATTACGTAAAACGAACAACGAATCTCGTACATACGGGGAGGCTTTTCTAGGTGCATTGTCAACACGTTCTGTTTTTTAGGGAATAGAATGGCATTTTAAAAAAAAGAAAAAAGAAGTTTGTTTTTATTTCAATATACTATTATACTACCGAGTCTGAACCTCCTGTGTAAATTTGGGCACCTCTCAAAAAGCCTCCCTGTGTAACACGTCTCATTTTACAGTCGAATTAGAAAGAAAGAAAGAAAAAACTATTTAACAAAATTACATTGTCAAAAAAAGCAATAAGAAGACATCCAGGTAAAAAAAGTACATTAAAATTATAAACTAATTGGGCTATCATTATTATATCTACAGCGCCGGATTTCAGTGGATTCTTATTAGGAGTCGGAAAAAAAACAAAAGATTTACACTCGGAGGAATGTTAAATAAAAATGAAAAATAAAACAAATAAAAATAATAATAAAGAATAAATATGAAAAATAACGTAAAAAAAAAAATTAGGGCGTGCGACGCGTGATGGAATGTATGGGAATGTATGGGGGCGGTGAGGGGGGGGATACGCACTCTCCGCCTCCTCGAAGCCCTGGAACTTGATGGGCTGCGCGTAGTTGACCATGGAGGAGAGCCAGGGGTGCACGTTGGTGGTGGAGCCCGTGTAGGCCACGGGCGGGGGCGCGCCCTCCTCCGCCCCGGCCGCCTCCGCCACCACCTCCTCGGCCTGCACCACCACCACGTCAACCGCCTCGATGGTCCCCCGAACATGTCGATATATCGGATAGCCCTAAAACCTTTAAACGGCGGTAGACCCACGCAGCCTCGGCTGTTGCACAAATGGGCAGGCTCCTCCGGGTAAGTACCGCGACCTTACAGAAGACCAGCTGGAAATATAACACTTTCGCGTTCGTGGTTAATGAGGTGGCCGGAGTCCAATTTTCAAAAGCTCTGCAAAAGGAATGCTTCTGCAACCCTCGGGTGTAGCAGATGTCCATGGGCGGCGGTATTCACCTAACATCAGGTGAGCCGTATGCCCGCTTGGCAACTTTTCACATAAAAAAAACCATATAATCTCGGACCGGGTAAGCACCGCGACCTCGTTTCGTCCAGCGAGGCAGCCGGGGCCCACTTTATTAAAAAGGCGGCAATGCATCAGTAACCCTATGGGTGTTGCAAATGTTCATGGACGATTATCACTCGACATCAGCTAAACCGCCAGCTAGTTTGTAGTTTGTAAAAAAAATTGTTTAAAACAACTTATTTCGATAAGCAAACTGATTTGATTCGATTTGAATTCGACATGATCTCGTTAGCCACCCCATCAAATGCCCAGGGAAAGTGTGCTAAGAAGCCAATCGCCCGTTCGCCGCAGTGCCCATCCTGGGTGAGATTTGAACCCATGACGCGAGCCAATCAACCAGTAGAGCTATTCGCGCCGCACCTTCTTCTCCGGCAGGACGACCGCCGAGGCGTCCTCCTTCACCTCGTCCTCGATGACGAACTGCCCCTGGCGGAACAGCTCCAGCTCCTGCTTCTCCACCTCGGGCTTCAGCCGCTTGTTCTTTATCATGATCTTGCGTTTCAGGGCCGAGGGCGGCGGCAGGGGCACCCCCGGCTCCAGCTGGGGACAATACCGGTTGTTTGATGAACACTAATTGGTCACCTTCCTTATACTTATTAAGTATACTATACGTGTTCTCTTCTGTACAGAGGGTATCAGGGCATAGTCCACTGCGGATTGGCGGACTTCACATATTTTTTCATCACCGCTTAAGTGTCACCTAAAGTATTGAGCGTCTATAGATAATCTTTGTGCGTGAATTTGGCAAAGATTTGTGGGTCTGCTGTAAAAGATAATCTTTGTGCCTTAGTGCTTGGCAAATGTTTGGTGTCTGCTGTAAAAAATGTGTGAAAACTGGGGGAATGTTTGTGTGTCTGCAGCAATAGATAATCTTTAGTACTTGGAAAATATCTGTATGTCTGCTGTAAAAAAATGCCTGTAAAAGAATGCGTTAATTCTGGTGTAAGGTTTGTGTGTCTGCTGTAATAGATAATCTTTGTGCGTGAACGCTCGGCAAATGTTTGCGAGTGTGGTGTAACAGATTCTGTTTGTGCGGGAACTGGCAAATGTTTGCGTGTCTGCTGTAAAAGAATGCGTGAATGGTGGGGGAATGTGCGTGTGCACCGACCGGGTGTTCCGGCAACGGCTCCTTGAGCAGCAGGTCGCCGAGGATCTCGTCGCAGTACTTGGCCAGCTTGTACTGCTGCGCCTTGCAGCAGTGGTTCTCGAAGGAGAGGATGACCGGGCAGTCGGACGTCACGAAGGCCGTGTCGCGCAGCGCGTAGATCACGTCGCGGAACAGGATGTCCGTGCACATGGCCATGCCGTGGGTGATGATCGGCTCCTCGTCCTCGCCCTTGCCATCCCAGCAGTCCAGCTCCACGCACCTGCCGGAGGCGCCGGGCTGCTATAGAGCGGACGCTGCACTTCTGCGCTTCGCCCGGCGAGTGAGGTAGCCGGGGCCCACTTTATTTGAAAATTTGTCGCCAATGTCCATGGGCGGCGGTTATCACTTAACATCGGGTGCACCGCTAGCTCGTTTGCCACTTTAGCACATAAAAAAAATATTATTGGCTTCGGCGCCGGGATCTTGCGTTGGGATACTAATGTATATAAGTGGACACAATATTAAAATTTGTAGAAAAAAGGACAAATATACGCGCGAATCAGGAAGAAGTGGGTTCGATCTTGGCAACGGCAAAAACCTTTTCGTAACGTAGACGTATTTTATTTTTGTTTTTTTAAATTTTAAGCAATACTAAACACTTTTCGTTTACAAACAACAAATTTTAATGTTTCAGTTGCGTTGTTCATCACAATGTTCAGGAATAAGCACTGTTAAAATTAAAATAAACACAATGTTCTTAGGATTAGCCTCGACAAAGTTTTTATTTTAATGGGACGAAAAAAGTGTCCGACTACAGAGAATGGGATGAGGATTCGCGTCCATAATCACGATAGACCTTATTAAAGCTAAATGATACTATGTTGTTGGAAGACAGGAGGGTAGTAGCACACTGCGACGGTCTATAAAAGGTACAGCGCTCTCCATGTTCAGGGGACTTTCTCGTCAGCCGTTGCGGCGTGTGGAAGCTCTACCCGAATTAATTACGATCGTGTTGGTTACTTAGAATTATAATTTACGTAGTTTGGCTTACTGGCCAATAAATTCCTTTTAAAAGGTCAATTATCGTTTCTATCTTAAAGAATATTGTATTCGCCAAAGGAGTTTGAATTTTCCATCGATCTTTTTAAATCTAAAAATATGAAATATGAAAGTGGGGGAGACCTATGTTCAGTCACTACTCAAATAGGCTGAAATGATGATGATGATATTATAACGAATCAGCTGTTCCTTAGGCTAAGTGTCAAACTTAACCAAATTGTCATTGAGGTTTGCCGTTAGTGAACGCAAATGAAGAATGTAATTTGTGTTTTGCGCGATATGGATTATTGGTTATTGCGGTACCTGCAGCCGGCGAGCAGCACCTGTCGGTACATCTCCACGGAGCTCTTGCCGCCGAACTGGCGGCCGGAGAGGTAGGTGTTGTGGGACGAGTTGATGTAGTAGTGGGCCAGCGGCTGATCCATGTCCATGTAGTTGTCCAGCCGGTCCAGGAACACGGGCGCGTTCTCGTCGGACATCAGGTAGCGGATGAGGCCGTCCTTCGTCAGGCACTCTGCGTAGCAGAGGTGCGTTAACACGTAAGAAATGTATAAGATATAAGTCTTTGGTTTGACAAGTGTATAGTATATTTACACCAATTGTGTAATACCTCTTTAGCCTTCAATTATTATTTAATATAATTTTAATTGTTAGTAACAGGCTCAGAGTCATACTAAATGTAGAAAAGGGCATAAAGGACATTGCGACAAACTTATTATCTATCGTGGGTCTATTCTTAAGGACAGTGAATTTATTTCCCTTTTAATATCAAACTATGTTGTTATATCAGAGAATGTAGCGATCAGGTCATATTAGGAAATTGACGCCGCACGTGGACTTCTACAATAGGTACACTGCTACATAAATCAGGTTAGGTCTTCCTGTGAGATCTTGGAACAGATAGTGGTTTATTACATACACTGCAAACTTGAATATACAAACTTTCTTCCTTTTTTGAATAGATGCAGATGAGATGTGATATCCTTACTAATATTATAAACGCGAAAGTTTGTATGTATGGATAGATGTTTGTTACTCTTTCACGCAATTACTACTGAATAGATTTTAATGAAACTTTACAATAATATAGAATAAGACAGAGGCTATAATTTATATACATATTTTATGTATATGTGTCTTTCTGTCTGAACGTTACGCCTTCAGCCTATTCTACGCAGACGTAGTTGCGGGCGGCAGCTAGTTAAACATAATCGCAATCATCTACTCGTTGGTACCGACATCGCGATTCTGACCCAGGGAAGCGAAGGAGAAGATACAAGTGCCACAGACTCGTCTAATGTTACAGAGTGAGAGAATAAAAGTGACGGTGCTCCCGAACTCACTGGCGTTTTTGGCCTCCTCGTTCTGCTCGTAGTCTGTGATGATTTCGAGGGCGCGCTTGTCGTCGTACAACGGGTAGAGGATCTCGTTGAGACGCGGGTCGCGCTGCTTCTCGTTGAGGAAGTTCACGAACTGGTCCAGATTGATGCGGTCTGACTTGCCCTGGGTTCTGAGCGAAAGAGGTTGTAAAACCATTGAACTGGTGCGATTATAACTATTGAGGCGACCGATAACGCGATCAGTTAAGTCGAAATTTTTGTTTTATTGATAAAATAACACTAAAAGTAGTGTAGATGGTACGTTGAAATTCAGACTCGAAACTGTTTTGATAAAAAAATCTGATTGATAAATTTGTTATATGATATGTATCAAATTATTATTTGACTGCAGTTGTCAAGCTATCGGTTTTAAACAACGCGGCTCCGGTAAAAATCCGTATGAGAAAATAAATTTGCATCAAACAACATTGCCAATTGCAAAATTTTCTGTGTGCAATAAAGGTTTGTTAAGCTTTCCAATAATCCAATAATACAGAACGATAACACCCCAAAAAAGGTGGTAGGGCCACAGAACGAATAAACACCCCACAAAAAGGTGGAAGTAAAAAATTATGAGCATAGCCCAATTTTCAAAAGAAATCTGTTCGAGTGTAGCAGAAGGTAACTTAACATCAAATGACAAAACTTTTCGCATAAAAAAAAAAAAAAAAAAAAAAAAGGTAAATAAATTATCATAGAGAAATTCAAGGAATAAAAATAGTAAAAGAGGGAATGAATTCTTTTTAACTTACATAGATCTGAAAAGTTCCTCGATATCGTTCCTCGGACAGATCTTGTGGTACAGAGCGTAGAACTTGTCGAACGTGAACGCCTCCTTCTCCATGACGTCGTTCTTCCCCGAGGGCAGGCCCAGCTCCGAGAGGCACTGGTAGACCAGCTTCTCGGTCTTCCCCGAGGCGAATGTTCGGGCGACCACTTTGACCGGAACCTTGCCGCGGGGGTCCGTCAGGAAACACAGGCGCATCCAACTGGGGAAATGGTGGTGTCCTTTGATGTGAGCACAGGTCTCCATAGGGGTTGCAAAATCATCAAAAACATCATACCAAAGATTAAGGCTAAAAATATAGTTTCTGTTAAAGAATTTCAAATTTATTCATATTTCTTATTGCCAATATGAAGTTTAGTAATAGTTATGGTTAAGTAAATGTTTTGTTGCACCGATATGAGTAAATATTTATTAAAAGAAACACAACATTTTATTATTATATAAAGCTTAGAAAGGCTGAAGCTACATTAATAAACGTATATTAAATGTGTGGTTTATAATATAACTGCAGAACTGGTAATGTACAGCATTAATTTAATGGCAAGTTTAGAGAAATAACTATGCTTTGTGTAAGTGAATTTACTGTCCTCTGGACAAGTATATGTGACTACAGGTAACAATTATTAAGGATTTAGGTGCAAATGTGTATTTAAAACGCATCGATGATAAATAGCTCCAATTTGAATATTACCTAATATATAGAATATTATTATAATATTATAAAGAAGCAAAAGGGTTAGGAGAGATGGATTTCTAGAAAAGCCTTCAGTAATTCTGATCATTACTGTAGGATTTTCTAGAACTTGAATAATTACTGATAATGATCCAATAAGAAAAGGGAAAGTGACAGCCTTTTTATGTCCCACTGATGGGCAAAGGCCTCCTCTCTACAAAGGGTATTAAAGCATAGTCCCACACTGGGGATTGGCGGACTACACCTATCTTGGAAACAATTTTTTTTATTGTTATGTCGAAAATATGCATGCTTCCTCACGATGTTTTCCTTCACCGCCGAGCACGTGATGATTCAGCACTTAAAATTAACAATATCATTGGTGCCCTCTCCGGGGATCGAACTCAGGTCGCTCGAGTATATTGAATTAAAAGCAAGCGCCCGGACATTGAGCTACATTGCTTCTCGTAATATTCTGCAATTGTTTAAATGTTTATAATACTACTCGTATAAATATTTAACTAGAAATGTGACGTTCTAGCTCAGAAATACCACCACCCATGTACCAGTTTAAGCGTGGGCCGCCGCAAACAGACAACGGGAATAGTTGTGAACATTAAAAAGCTGCAACTGCGTGCGTTAATCAATTATCAAACAAACAAAATACATTTATTTAAACATTAGCTGAAAAAATAATACGGTGCCCACTTATCAACAAACTAAAAAATTCATACTGCGATTAGTCGCGAGCCTTACCACAAAGTAATCGTGCAAATTGTTCATTCAAAGAAATCTGGTCATCACAGTAAAGCACTTCTTTGCCTGAAGCGACGCTGACGAAACCACAGAGGGATGAAGTACTTAGATGAGAAGCTATTTAAAAATAACAAACAACTCTAATTAGTTTTTCTAAACGAATATTATATCAAAAGCAAACGGTCATTTACCTCGCCGCCATTGTTGAAGCGAAATTGCTTTTATGTCAACATCCAGTACCCTTAATGTAATAGACGAAAGTACCTTTTGTGACCACAAAGGACTTAAATAAACAAGAGATAAATCTCATTTTGCCTACCATACCATTAAATTAACTGGGATCAGAAGTGATGTTAAAATTATTCATACTTTAAATTAAGATGTTTAGGATAAATACAGTCTTATGGTGAATGCTTTAAAGTCATTCGTAAAATATAGTTTTTCGTTCGGTAATTTATTCAGATTTGAGTTATCTATGTTTGTCGTACGTTTTTCAATGTAACTAATTATTTATCAATGTAAAGTGTTAACATTTATAAAGTAACTTCGTGTCTGTTTTATTCAACATTCATTAGATCATAATGAAACAAATGTTTCTGATATTTTGTTGACAATTATTTAGACGATATTTGTGCGCGCCAAGGGTGTAGTCGGAATCCTCATAAACCATCTAACTTTCATTTTGATGACTTTTATACGACCAAGTGGCTCATCTGGTGACATGAGAGCACGAAGCCTATGGATAAGGCACGTATCGCTTGCCTTTCAGAGAAGAATTGTCTCTATCCTTTAATAATTTTCGACGTGAATTTTATGTTTCTAAATAAAAATCGTTTTACACTCTCCGAATTGAAATATGACCTACCCATCGCCCTATGCTAAAGTTGTTTTAAAGTGTGCCGAAGCAGAGGTTTCTTTTTCTCGAGAAGAAATCACTGTGCGAATATTAATGGAGCAAAATCAAGAATCTCGCGAACTTCATGTGAATGAATAATGTAACAAGTTAAAAGTTTGTAGACAAAAATTAATAAGCCAAAATCGCTGCCGCTCGCTTTAGTTCTAAGATGCGCGAGTTTTACGTGAAGTCAGAATCAAATAAAACAATTCTTTAGAATTGTATATGAATTATTAAAAGAAATTTTTATAGTGCTATTCTCTGTACTTAAAATGTTTTTTATTAAACCCAAGTACAACACAGGTTCAAGTCCTCGTAGTGGTTTTTTTTTAAAAACTTTTCCTCCATTTTTCTACAAACTAAAAAATATATTTGAATTTCTATTCCTTACGTTTCGGATACTTTGCGGTATTCATGGCCTATTAACACAACAATGTCAATTTTAGTAGCATCCAATGACGTCTTTTGAAGTGTGTTATATTTTGATAGCTTCACATTAATCACGGTTTTTTTTTTGGTTGATTTGTCGTGTATCGAATGCGATTTTGAATAGTTGAGAAGTTTGCAGTATATTCGCAAAATGAATACTTGATTTGATATTTTTAATTTCCAAAACACTTGTTTTAAGTGTACGGCAGCTTATGAGGGCTTGTTCCAATCGAGGTTTGATTAATATATTTGGAACTTGTGCGACATGTGGTCTTAACTTGAGACTTATGTACATCTTTACTCAATCGTTACTACTACTACTAAATTTACATTATTTCAATTCAATCCATATTTATGTTATAATGTGATAAAACTCTCTGAAATTATATTACGAACCTAAAAATTATCAATTTGATAACCTCAGAAATTAACAATAGTCAATTAAAATAAAAAGAGTGTTTAACTTAAAATTAGTATTTATAGAATGCTTAATGTGTGTTGTATTTTTAACATCTCAATTTCGAAAAATAAAGCATTTCAATTACTTACATTGCAGAGCCGTGGCGAGGCAGGTAATTTTCTAAGAGTCGGTTCAGGATACGTTTGTACGTACATATTCAAAATACACCTACTTATGTTTACTCAAAGAGAAACGAGATTGCAAACAAGGCTTTGATGAAAAAGCAAAAGAAAGGTTGTCGGAATTCGAGCGTTATACAGTTTTTTCATGAAAGCCAAGCTACATTACTACAAAATCGATGCCTATTGATTAGTCAATGTGATTAGATGTCTTTTATTTTGATTAAAAATATCTTATACGAAAGGTATTTTATACTACTTTTTTATGTGAGAAGGTGGCAAGCGAGCCGGTAGTTCACCCGATGTTAAGAGTTTACCGCCGCCTATTGACATATGCGATACATCCATACCCATAGGGTTGCAGATGTGTTGCCATCTTTTAATAAAATGAGCCCTGGTTACCTCACGCACCAGATGAAACGGAGAATTATAACACTTCCACTTCACGTCGGTCTTCAATGAGTTGTCGGTACTTCTCCGAACGGACCTACCCATTCGTGCAAGAGCCATATATGTTTGTATATAATAGTACTAATAAAATTCACAGACCTACGTTATTTTAATTAGGCAACCTTTCAATTATGTTCAGAGGTTTCAAACATATATCTATTCCGTTTAAATCGGCTACCCATTTCTATCAATTTCACTAACAGTTAAATGGTATCTAACGACCCGACAGCGTTAAGCAGAAACCAGACTAATTGTAACAGTGAATTCCATTCGCGCCCTTAGATAACCTCTTACTGGCAGCTATTCGAGACAGACGGTAATCCAATTTAGCTCCAACAAGATATATAGTACTAACACCTTGGAGAGAATAAAAGTGAAAAGGAACGGTCTACGTTCGCACGTACCGGTGAAATCTTGGCGCAGTAGATTTAGCCCGAGCTTATTCTGGATCTAATTCGTCGTAGAGTTCGGTGAACTCGGCTATTGCAATGGAATGTTGGAGAGAATAACAATTAGAACTACAGGCGCAGTAGATAACATACTACTACAAAGTAGATAATATGCTACAGGCAAATATAAAATTATACATCAAGAAGAGCCAACAAAATTACTAATAAATTCTAAGTACTACTAGTAAACGATGCAGATAAACGATTACGTACTGCTTCATGAGGCTAGTTCTCGGGCAGACATTGTTGATTTTGTTGTTATGGGTTATTTCGCGTAGACCCTCCTTCCACACCTTCAGTTGAAAGCAAATAAATAAATAAATAATAAGCAAGTAATCATGCACAGCTAACTGAATACGCATCGATATCACACATAATCAGTGTAAGGATTACACATCTGATTATTTAATCGTAATCAAAGCGTAAATCAGTAATAAAACAGCAGAGGCCAATAGAGTAGAAGACCCAGGAATAGTCGTAGAATAGTCTGTGATTGATTCTGAACTGTTGGACCTAGGAAGGGAATATTCTACGACTCATTCTGAATCTTTGAACGGGTCTAAAAGTCGATTCTACATTCCGATTTAGGCTAGGCACGGCAGAAACAACCACCTAAGCCAAAGCCATGCTCATGCCATCCAATGCCAAAGCCATGCTCAATGTAACTGTTTCCGAACGACTTACTGTTTCTTGAGGCACGTCATCGGGCACACGTTGTTCGCTTTCACATTGTGCGTGATTTTCCTCAGCCCGTCAAGCCACACCTTTTGCCAGTCAAATGAACACGTTTTACTGAGAGAGGATTAAAGGGCTAAACTTCTTCGCGTAACGTGTACACGCTGTTGCTTCTGGAATTTCTTTTTGTGATAAGTGGCAAACGAGCTGGCGGTTCACCTGCTGTTGAGTAATAACCGCCCCCCATGGACGTTTCCAACACCCGTAGGGTTGCGAATGCGTTGCCACTTTTAAATAGAGTGGGCCAATATCAGCCAGGATTGGATTAGGTTTACGTACTTTCACATATATCCTTAGTATTGAAAAACTATTAAAGTATTGCAATTGAACAAAAAATTCTTCTGTGTTCATCTATGATTATCAACATTTTTGAATAATGTATGAAAACACAAATAAAATATTAATAGAATTACTACATGCAATTTGTATTTTTTCGTTTACGAATCTATAGAACAGGAAGTTACCAAAACGAATAATGGTCCTTCGGGTCGGATTTTTTGTAAACATAAGAAGGATCTAGATCTAGCTTGGACTGACCTTAGCGGTGGCGGCGTCCGGGCACACCACGTGTTGGTAGTTGATGTTGATGTAGTCCGTACCGCTGCAAATCGTGAGCGATTTATCCTCTAAGGAGTCTCCATGTTTGTTTATGAGATTGGTGCTCAACTTTGAATCTTGCTGCAATAGATATAAGTGAAGTCGTAAAGGTAAATCTAAAAAACAATTTCGTATATTACTCGGTATCTAATAACCGATAATATGTCTGTCCGTATTCAGACCACTAGTTCCCCAGTCGTTTGTGAGAATGTAAAGCAATGAAATATTAATAACTAATTAATTTGGCTACGGACACGATAGCTATCAGATTTGGGCAAATCGGTTAGAAGGCAATTTAGAAATCAATGCATTGAACTTAAACAATTCAACCTCTATTCAAACACAAAGCTCGGATTTAGGGGGAGGGTCAACTCCCTCAAAAACTAGATATGCTTATTTTCAAATGTATGACATGGCACCTTAATTTACTCTTACATTTTTCAGTTATCAAGAACTGACCATTAGATTGAAAAAAAAAATAAATAAATAAATATTTTAGGACACATTTTTACACAACTTTCTCTAGTGCCAAACTAAGTATCGCTTGTACTATGGGTACTAGATAACTGATAAATATACTTAAATATACTTTTCGTTTGTAAATAAATACATATTATACATATACAGCGTGTCTTTACAACCACGACAATAAATGAACACACGTCTAACGCTATTTGCCAATAATCATATAAAAATATGAACGTTAAAAAATCCATAATTATTTTTTTTTTCAAACAAACTATTTAAATAAAAAGGAAACATAATTTGTAACATCCTATACAACTACAACTGACTGAGTTATACATTCAGAGACTTCTTTTTATCTCTTTTAAATTCATTTAACCCATTCATATGCTTTGTGACATGAATTTTACGTTACAGTTTTATATGTAAGGGTTTTCTAAAATTGTTTGTTTTGGAAAATTTAATAACTCGGTAAATATTAATGTTTAAATAATGTAAATGTTTAATACAATTTTAAAAAGTTATCCTTTACATGTGTGTTCGTTTATTGTCTCGGTTGTAACGATACGCTGTACGCTGTATAAACACCCAGACACTAGAAAAGCATTATGTTCATCACACAATATATTTCCAGTACTGGGGATCGAACCCACACCCTCTGGCGCAGGACGCAGGTACACTACCCACTACGCCATTCGGGTGTTCAATTATCGTATAAATTTCTGTTACTTTTATTTGGATTTTCTAACTCGTAATCAATAACACGTTTCGGCATTTCTCATATCTCTGCCATAAAATACGCGTACACATTAAAAATAACGCAGACGTAAAAGCTTACCCTCTACTGAACGGTCGAAATGAAATATTTGAGGTCGTTACAAATCGAACAATGAATAATTTTCCAACGTTCAATGTTTCAATCTGTAACGACCTTTAACGTCTTTAATGTAATAATTCAATATTACAAATCGTGATATTGAATTATTCAGTATCAATGATCGTGTCCTTTGCTCCTTTTCTCTCAACATGAGAGGTCAGAGACCTTCCTCTGTCTGTGTATTTTTGTATTTCGCGCAGAAGAGGTTAGGTATTAAGTCCCATCGACCATTGCAACCTAGAAGATCTATTGTAGTCTTTCCTTTAAAAACATTGCTCCCATACTGTCTCGTGGTTCGTCATTATATTCACCTGACTGCGAGACGCAAAGAAGAGTAATGTGTTTAACAGTAGTTCATCTAGAGATCAAAAGCTTGGTCCGATTTTAACGGTGGTAGGGCCACGAAGCAGCGTCCTGTTGCACGAATGGGCAGGCCTGTCCGGGTAAGTACCACGACCTCACAGAAGATCACGTAAAGTGGAAGTATGACAAATACTTTCGCGTTTTGGTGAGTGAGGTAGCCGGAGCCCATTTTTCAAAAGGTTGTCAACGCATCTGTAACCCTCGAGTGTAGCAGATGTCCATGGGCGGCGGTATTCACTTAACATCAGGTGAACCGTCTGCTCGTTTGACAACTTTTTCGCATAAAAAAAAAAAAAAAAAGATTCTTATCGTACGTCAATAGAAGCGTCTTAATCTTGCAAACGATTAAGACACGTGCAAAAGAAAACTAATCAGAATTCAATATGACGACAAATAGACGCTACATCGTGAACAAGTTAAGCGGGGTGTAGAAAAATGTTCCATTTAAACAACATATTTGGCCTTTTCAAAAGGTTTTTTGATTTTAGGTACTTATTTATTATTAAATGAAACTATTTTTACCGATTACATCCCGCTTAATTTAAACTCGAATTCCCCACGTTGTGAATGATTTACGTCATTCACGAGATGGACCGAGGCTTAACACAGTCCACACTGATATCCAGGCAATTTTTGGAAATGATTAATTTTATTATTTATTTAAGCAAAAGTGCAAAGATTAAGCGTTATATGTAAAAGTGCTTGAGCAAAGATTAGATATTATTTAATATTAAGCCTATATTAAATATTATTCATTAAGGATTCCAAGTTAATGATAGTACCTATCCATGTTCTGTATTGAAATTTTTAATTACTTAGATTTTGAGTTCTAATGGTCTCGCGAATTTTCACAACAATCTTTGTTAAGTTTGTGATCTTTCAAATATTTGAAAATGTGATCTTTAAATTGTAATTAGGGGTCGCAGACTACAGATTCATCCAAATATTTGTGTCTATATAAGCTACCAGTAAAAATAGTCTGGTAATGTGTATTGTATGCAGAAGGATTTATCATATTTGTACTATAAGTTTACACAGGCTTATCTAGTTCAGTAAATATCCCTCTTAAACATTTTTCTATTATTCCATTTTCTGTTTTATCATTTCAACTCTATACGTACAATATCTTATACAATATCAATATCTTGGCTGTGGCTATCTGGGATCCGTGACGTCACGGGATGATTCACGAATAATCTATTGGAACGAGCCGACACGTCAATCTGTTTATTTAAGATCCAATTCATACTTTGATTGGTTTTGAATAAATAGTGTTATAGCGTCGCCCTTGCCATGAATATGTTAGACATAATTTATCTATTTCAAGTACCTAATGACTTATTTCATTCTATTCAGTCGGAGAGCTGGCCACGAATTATGGGAAGATCTAGGAACGAACAAAACATCCGGGAGTTTTTTCACAATTTGAACTTTTTTTTTTTTATGCGAAAAATTGCCAAACGAGCAGACGGGTCACCTGATGTTAAGTGAATACCGCCGCCCTTGGACATCTGCTACACCCGAGGGCTACAGATGCGTTGACAACCTTTTGAAAATTGGGCTCCGGCTACCTCACTCACCAGTCGAAACGGGAAAGTATTTGTCATACTTCCACTTTACGCTGGTCTTCTGTGAGGTCGTGGTACTAAGCCGGACGGGCCTGCCCGTTCGTGCAACAGCCGAGGCTGCTGCGTGGCCCTACCACCGTAAATTGCCAAAAGGTCCTTTCCAAAATTTGTTGTCATCTCTTCGACTACCATGTTATATGTAAAACATTAGGCTTACAATTACTATAATATTATCTGGTTTATAGCGACGTTCTGAAGATGATTCTCAGTCGTGGATAGTTTTTTTTTGTTCAGTCACATTCTATCCTTTCTATGTAAATTAAAGGAAACACTAAAGAATTCTATAGCTTGGGATGCAATGGTACAAACAATGTTTCGACGAAATGATCCGCGACTGTCTGACGATATATTTTTCTATTCTAATATCATGGCATACAATGTAGCGATTCTCTTGATGGTGTGTGCTAAAAGTGGTCCATTGATGACGAATGACAACGCCGGGATTTTCAGTTTCCGCACTCGCCCCTAAAGCGAAATTAAAAATTTACTTTCGCCATCGAATTATACACGCAGCGGCCAAGGTTTGCGTGGATATTACTCTATTTAATGAAAATTTGTAACTCTCTTTAGGACCGCAAGGTTTCGTTCATAGATAAGACATTTTTTTTGGTAAATCGTGTATTTTGGAAATTACATTTAAATACAAATTACTGAGTAATGAAATATGCATAATATTTTTCGATCTTACCGACGTAATAATAAGAAAATATGAACTGATGTTTTTCACAAAAGAAAGAACTTTAAAAAAATAACAAAATAACAAATCGACAAAAAATAAAAGATAAAGAAAGCAATGATCTGGAATCGAAAAAAAAGTAAAAAAAATAAGTGTGTAAATGATCGTGATACGAACCACGGCCTTCTGTTTCGTGGCTGTTTGTTAGCGGCCGTCCGATTACCGACCGAGCTATTATAACATTTTTTATTTCGGTGAAATTTACCGTCGTATTCGAATCATAATTTTCATTCCCTGAAAAGTGGGATAAAACGACATTTTCTAAAAATGAAACCTAGTCAGATCGATTTTTCGCCCCCGAATCTACGCACATACTAAATTTCATGAAAATCGCTGGAGCCGTTTCCGAGATTCCAATTATATATATACAAGAATTGCTCGTTTAAAGGATAAGAAAGATATTGAAATAGATGAGACACTCGACATTTCGACAAATCAACTATTATTGTTCACCCGCCCTATCCGATGGTGACAGCGTCTTTGTAAGCTATATACCTATTTATACTTATAGCCACAAAACCACAGTTTGAAGTTAAAAAAAACTATACAACTAGCGACCCGTACAAACACGGTACTTTACGGTACGGTACAATATAGGTAATTTAATTTTATTTTACTTTAATTATATTCAAGTATTGGATAAGAGTAGCGGCAGATAGAAAGCATTGGAGAGAACTGGAGGAGGCCTATGCCGTAAGACACACCGAACCAAGAGTTATTCTACAAACAAATATGAGAGTAGACTTAGTATTTAATGGTACTTCATAATTATATTTTTTTATTTTTATTTTTGCCATAAATGTAAAAAGTTCGGGAAATAAAGGCTTATTATTATTATTATTATATTCAAGTATTATAAGTACATTATTTTGATGAAACCAAACAGCTGTTTATTTATTGATAATATTACAATTTTCAGAGATAGTTTCGTTTTAATACCGGTTTTCTCGCAAAAATTAGTGAATAAATTACTTTAGGTCTTTGATCGATAAACGACTTTTGACGGGCGGAAATTAAAGATCAAAGAGGTCTCATATTTCAGCCCCATCGCTGTATTTCGCTAGAACTTGCCCGAGTCTAAGCCTCATTTTACCAAAATTCGGGGTTAGGGGTTAGGTTAAGTAGGATAATTTAAACTTCAACGAAGGAGTTAAACCCACTCGAAAAGGGACGGTGCTTGTAATTATTTTTTGCGCTATCCATCCTATGGGCGAAAGTTCATCAACCCTACGACAAAGTTTTGCTAATGATGATGAGAGAGACTGGAAGGTGCCTCATAGAATACATTCAGCAAATACCTTCGGCACACCACCGGACCGCACGTCGCTGACCTGGCACAGCTCGATGACGTCACCGTCCTGAGAAAAAGTAATGCAAATTAACGCCAACACCAAACATGACATAGTCCATGTTAAGTGAAACTAGTTTACGGGTTTTATCCCATTTTAATTATGAATTTTAATTCCCGACCTTCGGATTCTTTTTAGCCTTCATACCCACGGAACAGTCACCATGTCACAGTCGCTCCCGTGACTATCGCGTTTTAATTTAGATTTCCAATTCCCGTCGGGAATTGGAAATCTAAATTAAAACGCGATAAAATCCGTAAACTAGTCTCATTTAACATAATATTCGCGTAAAATCAAGATATATCCGACAAAGAAATCTTGTCAGGCATTGGTCAGTTTGTAACACTTTATATGTAACAAAGTAACAGCCTTAACAACTCCCGCAGCTGTCGTAAAAAACGTCAGCCGTTACTGCAGATTAAAATACTTCACGTGTCTTTGCAATATTTCTTCATCTTTTTCTCAGACATGTAAGTTTACTTGAGACGCTTTTCAATTTCCGAGCACATCATAAATCTTCTTCTCTTAAAAATAAATATTAATGTTTGTATGTCTCTGTGACTTCCTAAACCCGAGGAATGTCCTGCATTCACACGCGATGGTTCCTGGCCTAAGAAAACAACTTTCCCTTTTCCTACATGCAAACTGAAAAACTGGTAAAATATTTGTTACATTGCGATGCGAATAGATTAGAAATTCAGAGAAAAACTCGTCCATATTTCCATTAGAACCGCTAGGCAAAAATGCCTGCTCGGCCGCTTTTGTATATAATAATTTTAAAGCACCTTGCGGATTGTAGATTCGTAGCGTAAACAGGTTAATTTAATTATCACCTCCGCCTAATAAAATACAGGCATAATAAATTTAAAAGCGAGTACTGAGCTCTCTGTTCACCCAGTAACAGTGGTTGGTTTTCACGAGTTGCACAGATGCATGCAGTTAATCTAGGATATAGTGGGTTATATGCCTTACGTAGCGACCGAAACGCAAAAGTATAAATACTGTTAATATTTTACTGTGGTAGGGCCACGCAACAGTGTTTACTGTTGCAGGAATGGGCAGGACCGTCCGGATGAGTACCACGATCTCACAGATGACCGGCGTAAAGTAGAATTGTTACACTTCAGCGCTTCGTCTGATGAGCGAGGTAGCCGGGGCCCACTTTATTTAAAGGTAGCAACGCATTTAGTCCTACGGCTGCAAAAGTCCATGGGCGGCAGTTATTACTTAACAACAGGTGAACCACCAGCTCGTTTGCCACTTTTTCACATAAAAAAAAAACTTTACTATTTCTCTTTCCGTGTCTCCACCAAATTGAATTTGTAATGACATTTCCCCAACACGTGTAGTACCCATTGCAACCGAGTAGTGTCATAACATCCGGCCTGTCCCAAGTTCATTTCCCGAAGCGGCGGATCGATTGTTCTTCGAAGGAAATTGGCGTTTGCACGTCGAACACTGCGTTGGTTAAGCCTTTGAAATTATACGCCTTTATTGGAGTTCTACAGAGTTCTAGAACGTTTTGAGTTGAAATATGTTTGTGCCTTGTCTAAGTCGAGTTCTTCGTTACGAATCCCACCACGCGGGCCGTGCGTTGGTTTCCCAAAGAGCATATATATGACGTATAAACTCTTGGTCTTGGTGGCATCGATTGTCAATGTGCACTTTTTATGTGAGAATGTGGCAAGCGAGCTGGTGCACCTTAAAAAAACACTAGTCCACAGTAGTAGTGTGATAAACATGCTGCGCTGATAGGGCCACGGAACAGTCTACGCTATTGCGCGAATGGGTCGGTCCTTCGGGGGAGTAGCACCACCTCTCAGAACGCCGACGTGAAGTTGACGTGGTATACTTCTGCGTTTCGTTTAGTGAAGTAGGTGGGGGCGGGGGGGGGGGGGGGGGCACTTGATTAAAAGGTGGCAACGCATCTGCAATCCTACGGGAGTTGTAAATATCCATGGGCGTCGGTAATCAATCAGCTCGCTTGCTACATTCCCAAAAGAGTTATTAAAAAAGGCTAGCTTTCACCAAAACTTAGCCAAAACTCAGTCGGGCGTCAGTTACATATGTTAATCGAAAACAATGATTTGTTATACAAGGCGATTGCCAAGATGAAGACATCAATCAAAAGCACATGTTCGAGCGAAATGCGTGGGATGCACAAAACGTCTGTTTAAAATCACCACAATGGAGGAATGCAGCTGGGGGATTCGTGCGGAGCGAATTTCGTGCATACCGCATTTAATTATGGATTTTTTAGTTTTAAATAGAAATACGAAGGAACAATTTTCGATTTCGATTGTATGTTGCTGTGTCACCGATAACAGTTTTACTAAAAGGCAGGCTTAGTGTATCTAAAAGACATACATTATGGAGTTAAAGGAGTTGGTCGTCGATTGATTGATTTCGAATGTAGCTGGGATAGGGGCTCGCGACAGCTTCGGCTGCCGGCTGTTGCATAAATGGGCAGGCTCGTCCAGTAAGTACCACGACCTCACAGAAGACCGGCGTGAACCGACGTTTCGTCTGGTGAGTGAGGTAGGTGGGGCACACTTGAAAAGGTGGCAACGCATCTGCAATCCAATAGGTGTTACTAATATCCGTGGGCGGCAGTTATCACTTAACATCTGGTGAATCGCCAGCTCGCTGGCCACCTTAAATAGACAAAAAAAATCGAATTACCTTTCGAATGAATAAGAACCGAATATCGATTTTAACAAGAAGAAAAAAATATTACAAGTCACATTCAAAAGCTGTACAGTCAATTCAGTCTCATCATGTTCTTGTTTACGATAACGTCCAGAATTAGAGACATCAACAGCGCTTAACTATAATTCTAAAGTTATTAATAAATCTTAGACGGAATATATCGGAGGCTCGCTTTTGATTTGACACTTGCAGATGTGAGCAACCTGAGTTCAAATAACGGTGCCAGTACCGATGAAATTGTTAATTTTAAATGCTTACTGACTGATAATAACATACTTAGCGGTTAAGGATATCTTTTCGAAGAAACCTGCACATTTTTGAAATAATGAGAAAGGAAATATTTCGAAGACATGTGAAGACTGCCAAATGGGGTTACGCATGGTGGGGACTATATCTATGCCCTAACACCCTCTGCATGACATTTATAGGTTTTTCTCTAACTATATTAATAAATATTGACATTCCACATTCATTTTAATTTTATTAAGTGTTTTACGTCGCTATTTATTACAGATTTTCATGTCTGTATGGGGTTTAAAGTATCCGTGGGGCTTCAAAGTGACTCCATCCTGTTTAGTTCATAGTCGTTTGAATAAAATTAATATCTGAAGCATAATAAAGCTAGCAAAAGACAATCGAATATCTGAGCAGGTAGAGGCACGTTTTATTAATTTATTTTATTTGTATATGCTTTATTGCTAACCTTAATAAAAGGAGGGCGGACACGGAAATATAGTAGGCCCAAAAACATTTTCCACCATACAACCCAGGATGTAGTGAAAGCTTATGGTAGGTGCAGCAAGAGATGTAAAAGTTATAAAGAGTTATTATAGAACGAAAATAAGATATATGCATATAAATGTATAGATGTGAAGAGCCGCTATAGCTCAGTGTCCGGGCGCTCGCCTTTTATTCGATATACTCGAGCAACCTGAGTTCGATCCCCGGTGCCGGCACCGATGAAGATTTTAACTTTAAGTGCTGACTTATCACGTGCTCCGCGGTGAAGGAAAACATCGTGAGGAAACCTGCATATTTTCGAAATAATAACAAAAAAAATATATATTTCGAACATATGTGTAGTCCGCCAATCCGCAGTGGGGCCGCGTGGTGGACTATATCCTGATACCCTCTGTATAGAGGAGGCCTTAGCCCAGCAGTGGGACATTTATAGGCTGATACTTTACTTTTTATATAAATGTAAGGAATTTATAAAAACTAACATTTCAGATTACACTAAAATATAGATATAGATCGCAGGGACGCGTTGGATGCAGGCCGCTAACGACCGGTCGAAGTGGAAGTCAATGGGGGAGGCCTATGTTCAGCAGTGGACGTCCTACGGCTGATATGATGATGATGATGATGATGATAGATATAAATGGAGGTTGCTCAGGATCGTACTTCGTGGCAGTCCAAGTTCAGCATGGGACTCAAACAGGCTGAAATGCTGATGATGATAGATAGATAGTTATAAAAATATATGTTTATGTATAATTATGTAAGTAGAAAAATATGCTTCTACATACAATAATGGCTCGGATCTAAGTAATGTATGTCTTCGACAAGTGTCGAACCAGCCTTCACGTTCACCAGAACATAGCGAGATATTGAGCAAACTATTGCGCGGGAGAGTCAATATCATTCCTTTGCGCCAAGCAAAGTGACCTAGAAACATGACAGGCATCTTGTTGGCCGACGTCGGACTTGCGAAGGCTTTGTTCAGCGTATCTCAGTGACGGAAGCCGAGCAATGTCACGGAAATATCGCATGAGCAGAATTCCTCTAGCGTGTATGTCTACGCTGATTGAAATTTTGCTATCGTATCTCCGTTACACCTTCAAAGCGAATGAAAGATAGTTAACAAATATATTAAGATTGAAGTTTCGCTGTCGCGTTTCTGTTACTCTTAAAAGCTATCCCATTTTATTCGGATTTTTGGTTAGAAAATTAAGAAATGAAACATATAAAAGCAATCTGAGAAAATGTAAAATATGAATATTATATTCAACTTCGCAATGAGATTTCTGTGGCAGGGCAGAGACCCTAACGGCGAAAAAGGTTGCTGAGTTATATAGTCTTGGGCACCGTAGGATAGAGTATTAAATATCTAATATTAGGTATAATATATTTAGCTCCATGAATATATACAAACAAAATAGGTTTTTAAGCCGGAAAGGATTAAAAACTTGAGATATTTGTAGCAGAGCTTAGCGCTTGTCTATAAGTGAATGCTTATAGACAAGCGCTAAGCTCTGCTACAAACACACATCTTAAGATTTTTCAAACTTAAGAATTAT